GGACTCAACTCGGTGGTCCGAGAACCTGTCAACACACGCAAAAGGACACACACACACTTATGACCAACCTAACTTTCTTTTTATTATACAAGAGCGAGAACAGGACATGTGATCCCTTTGGAGTGGCCTGCATTTCTACTTAAAATCGATGTAAAATATGATCAGCTTTTTGCTCGTGGTCTTCTTTAACTGAAGCCACACAAACAATTACGGTACGTTTTTTTATGTTGTTATTGAACACAACATTAACACACAAATAAAAGCATGAAAACACATCTGTGTGGTGCTTGTTTAAGAAGTGTTTTTCTATTGTGATTCAGATGTGGATGAAACTCCATTTTATGTTGACTAATATAATGTTAAAAAAATCCAGGTAATTCCAAAGGGTTCAAAGTAGACTTTTTGCCGTCGACCCAACAAATTGGACTTCTAAAAATTGCTAAACACCGTCTGGCTGCTTGCGTTGTGCACTCAGCGGCCACTTCATTAACAACACCAGCACAATCGAAATGGACAGAAAAAATACTGCTCGATGTTGACTGACTTTATCGAAGAAGTATTAATTAATTTGTTGACTTGAATTTATCGACTGAAATTGCAAAACTAAGCATTGTTTTCATGTTGTGGCGCCATGAAAACATGCTTATGTGTGGGAGGATTAAAAAATTGGAGCTCTCAGATCACTAATGTTTTTTTTTTTGTGTGTCTCTCTCCAAATATTGTTTAATCCTTAGTGGGAAAAAAAAATCCAGATTTGGATTTTGAGCTATTAACAATGTTGGATAGCAAGAACATTGTTGGCACAGCATCACAGCGAGACAAATTGTTTTTTTTGTTTTTTTGGCATTGACATATAAAACGGACAAACGAAACTGGTTGAGTTACTTCCTGGTACAGTATGCTTTCTTGAAACTTCATCCGATTAAATCGTGGGTATCCAAAGTCACTTTTCACGCAAGCTTTGGCTATTCCTTTTGCCGCTCATCTTAAAACGATTCACACCACTGTGACTGGTGCCACAAAGTGAAGCTCCATTTTTGTCACCAAAATATTATGGCCAATAATAACTGTACACTCGGGGGAACTTTATGAACCCTTTCAGGGACAGCGGTTACTACAGCGGACAGCTTATCATGTTATCAGGTAACTCGGACTCAATCTTAAAAGGCTACTATGAAGTGTACTACTGTATGTACCTGTCTGACTTTGCTGCTCCTGAGAAGTGGAGAGAGGAGGAGGAGGAGTAGACAGAGGAGGAGGCGGAGGAGGAGGAGGAGTGGAGAGAGAAGGCGGAGAGATGGGAAGAGGCACGTACCCGAACGAGGAGAAGCGAGGGAGGGATTGCGCGTTGGGGTGAGGGGTGGGAGGGGAGGGCAGGTGCAGGGGGAGGACTTTGGAGGGGGGGTACGAGTGTCCGTTGAGCGAGCCGACGGGACAGGGGTTGGGCCTGCGCAGTAGCAGCGTGTGGCACTGCTGGGAGGGGGACAGGCCTGGGCTCGAGGCCAAGACGATGATGAGGACGAGGAGGAAGGTGCAAAAAAAGAGATGCAAAACAACAACAACAACAACAACACAACACGACAACTCATCAGTCCACTTAAAAAAAAAAAGATAAAGTAAGAATTCATCTGAAGAGAACGTCGGAGAAAAGAACATATCCAAATGTACTCATATAAGGTCAAAACAAAGAATAGTGCCACTGTAGCAAGAAAGGAAATAGAGTGAAAAGCATTTTATCTCCACATGGCGTGACTTTGTTGCCATATCATTCATGAACCCTTTCGGGGACGGCGGTTACTACAGTGGACAGCTTATTGATTCTCATTATAAAAGCATTTTGGAGAAAAAAAAATCTAGAAACCCCCCAAATGGGGATAAACCTTCAATATGCGTTTTTCATGAGAAATGGAGGCCTGACATTGTGAATGTCAACTATGATTTTCTTTCACAAATAAGGATATTTGTGAAATGACCACCACATTTTTGAACAGGAGTGTACATCAATGGAGATAGAAGCTTTTCCATAACAAAAGTAACATATGAACAAGCAGCACGAGCATGCGTAACAGAGGCCTTCATCACAAAGCATTACACAGGGCTCTCTCAATATTTGTATTTCAAATCATCTTGAGCCATTGAAATGAATGGAAATGCCATCAATCCGTTTCAGTCTCCACCATAAAAGATAAAGGCAGCATCAAAGGATTCACTCTGTTCCTTTTTTGTTGGCTATTTTTGAGTAAAATGTGAGAAAACAGGAAGAACACCACATGCTAACGTGGGCCCAAAAAATGAGATGCACAAGTGTGACTTGACTGCGTTATCATTCTATCATATTCAGATTTGAACCGTTCTTGGCTATTTTTGCAATACTTACTCCGAAAGAAGTCGATGAGAATTTGACTACCGTAATTGTTCATCCCTAATGGTGAGTATCAAAGCAATGTTTCAAACAAAAGAGATTGATGAGAGGTCATTCAAGGTTGCTTTGTGATTCAGGTCTCTGTTGAGTTTAAAGGCTCCTTCCATGGACTGTATGATTATATCTGGACAACATGAATACATTTAAAATATCCGTCCAATCAAAATATATCCGATATGAACCACCTAATCCTTAAAGGCGCGGTGTGATGAGTAAGTCTTTTACTCCCCAAAGGAGGTAGCTTTTGGCATCACTTTTGGTTACACATTGTCCATTGCCAATCTACAGTCTACGGTTGGATTCATTAGGTCGGATGGAACAATCGGAGAAATATTCACGGAGAGGGGAAAGACGGGTTGAAGTGACGGTTTTTTTGGAGGGGAAAAGCTATGATTCATGTGTTAAAATGGCCGATGACGCTTGTAGCTGTCTACTACTAATGATTGGCTAAAGCTACGTAAAGAGGCTGCTGAGCACACACACGCGCACGCACGCACGCAGCTGTGGTGTGAGTGGTCACCTGCCCTCTTGATGACTTCCACCATGTTGGACGGGAAGTAGCCCACGCGGTCATTCCCAGTGCGGTTATCGTGAATGCATCCCTTCCATCGGCCATCCGAGTGCTGCTCTAAAACCTGTCAGCACACCACCAACTCTTATTTAAAGACCACATATGTGAATAATGACTCCATGTGATACATAAGATGATGATTTGACACATTTAAACACTTTTGAGAATGCGATACTGTAACTTTCATGGGGGTGTGGGGGGGCGGGGGAGTGATTTCAATTTATTTTCTGAAGTAGAGACTTGAAGGAATACACAGTACTGGAGTTCACAAGGTAAGGAGGGGATGGGGTGGGGTGCTCGATGTTTTGTACCGTAATAATGTCTCCCGCTTTGATGTTGAGGCTGGTGAGGTCGTAGTTGTTGCAGTAATCCTTCAGCGCTCGCACCTGCATGGCAGCGGACGCGTCTGCAATGCACAAGTGAAGCTGAGCAGAGTCAGTCGCATGAAAGGAAGCAGTCGGCAAAGGATTTTCCGTCTCACATCAAAGCAAAAGCGCCTTCCATCCGGAGTACTATCATTGTCCTTTAGTTCCAAAAAACCAAAAAGATCACAAAAAACTTCACGCAGAGCCACAGCACACAATACTACACCCATAAATGCTTTTACAAACTATCCAGAGAAGTCATTCTCAACCACACTCATGTGGGAAATGATCAAATTTCACGAACAATAATTAGTTCATTAATTACTGTACAGGCGATACGTAGTGACAGAAAAAAAAACAAAAAAACGATTTTCATTTTGTTGTCACATCCCTACACCAGTAGCGTTAAATTTGCACTTGAGAGCTCACCTCTGAGGAGTTGCTTGATCTCACGGCTGGCCTGTGTGGTGGTGAACTGGTTCACGATGTCCAGTGCAGTTTGACTCAAAGTGTTCCTCACTCCGGCGCTGATCCCACTCTGAGTGAATAAATGACAGTCATGCAGTATAACGTTGTGAGTTTCTATATAGTCTGTTACGTAACCGACAGGCCACATCTACCGATGTTGTATCACTCGTAGCTTTCCATACCAACCCTGCACACCGTTGAGCAGCCCCGTACCAGTCACAACACTATACTCTTGTTTTAATGAAGTCCACTTTTAGCAATACAGTGATCCATTCTCCTTGTATCAACGAGGAAAGATGATTTGTGATAGAAGCGATGAGAGTGGTCATGAAACAAATTCAACTCATATCCCATCTGCACTTATTTTAAGACTATAAAATTATATTCTTTCTTTCAATCGGGGCTTTCGGTTCAATTGCCTGCATCCTTATGCTTCAAATGTAGAATGTTCTTCCAGTCTCACTTTGACTCCAGTGAGTCACTGCAGCCTCGCTCTCATCCAGAAGGCTGACAACAAAAGCTCCATAATGACTTTTCCGGCTAACGTCCTCAAAATTGCATCATCTCTCAAGCGTGACAAATACAGCCCAGCCTGACATATTCCGTCAAAAATCTGCCAACGCTCAACTTGTTTTCTACTCAGACCATTTTGCACGCAGAAGGGCGATAGTGGCAAAAAATAATCAAGTTGAAGAAATGTGAAGGTGGCACAGACTAAAAAGACAGCTAGCATATAAGAATGTTTGTCGTTAATGAGCTAACAGGCTAAGCTAACACCCGCTAGGCTTCAAACGTTAGAAGACGATGTTGCAAGGAAATCCACTGCTTACAGCAACCGATAACACCATATAAAGACAAAAAACAAAGGGGAACATTTATTTACAAACATTATGAACATATTAATGTTGAACCAGGGTTGTCCAACCAAGCTAAATTCATTCCATAGATATAGTGTTTATATATAACAGTTATTTTGAAATAAGCTTCCCGCGAAAGGTGACTAAGCAAATAATTGAGGCTTTTGCAGTATTTTGAGATGACCTAGAAAAGCTTTCAATAAAATATTTTTTAACTAGTCGTAACTTCATATTTTACAGCCGGAACAAGGAGACCTCGGCAAAATATTTGTGACTTGAGAGTACATATTTCAAAGTGCAACCGTAAATGGTGTTATGAAGGCGCTCTCCCCTGGACCCAAAACGTTTGAGAACCCCTGACCCTGCGCGACTTACCTCAAGCAGGAGGCGCACTACTTCTGTCTTCCCACAGAGGGCAGCCTGATGCAGAGCTGTACCAGACTCAGACTGTCTGTTGATGTCAATGCCAGCCTGAATCAACAACCTGCAACACGTATTAGCCTGATTGGAATGTAGCAAAACCGCACTTAAAGGCGTTTTTACAGACTTAAAATTGTTTGATGTCATTTGTGAAGTCTTCCGACCGTATCACGTCGATGTGTCCGTTCTTGGCGGCAAGATGGAGAGGCGACACCCCGTTGGGGTCGGACGGTTTGGGCTCCAGCATAGTGGCACACATGTTGCTGCTGAGCAGGAGTTGCACAACCTAACATACGATCCAAGTGTGAAAAGGTGGATGAAATGACACGTTTTGCACTCACCACTGGTTTACTTGTGACATTTATCTTGCTTTCATACTCACTGCCACACGTCCAAATTCGCAGGCGAGGTCCAGCGGTGTTTTTCCCGCCGTGTCTGAGATGCACGTGTTGGACTGGTGTTGCAGCAACATCTCAGACTGTCGACACACACACACATAAAAAAAGCGCTGCATTATAAATGTCACGCTTCGTCAAAGCAAAACGCATGCACGATGAGGCCCAGACGAAGAACGCAAAAAAAAAAAAGGCCCGAGGACACAGCTGGTTACCCCGTCATAGTGTCCGTGCTGAGCAGACAGGTGGAGCGGGATCTGTCCTTCGTCCGACTGTCCGTTGACGGACGAGCCTGCCTTCAGCAGCATTTTCAGTGGTTCAGTCTTGCCCTGCCAGGCGGCGTAGTGCAGAGGACGCATTCCTACATAAACAAATGTGACACCCTTAAGCGCACAAATGCGAAGAAAACTTCCAGTATTAATTTAACATGACAATATTAAGTCACAGAATTTCTGGAAGAAAATGGGTTAAATGGGGACACCAACCTCATACTGTAAGTCGGCTGCCAAGGCGACAGTTTTTCTCTTATCTTCCAAATCGCATATGTGATTCGTTGTAAAATGTTACAACAGAAATAAAGTGTATATTTTTATTGTCTGGTGATCAGTCCAAGTCAGGTAAAAAAGGGATGACTAGCCACTGCCTTCTGTTCGTGGCTCTTGTTGCTAGGCAGAGTTCATCGGGTTCATTGCCCTTAATTAAAGCAAACGTCTATAATGATTGTGGCTATTTGTGTTGGCGCACATATTCGTATTGCTGCCCTGATTTTTGTATTCCATCACTCTCTTGGCAATCGCGTACATATGTCCGTCAAACCAATCATGTTTGACAAGGATATGAGCTGTTGTCATTTGCACCGATGACAAAAGTTTTGAAAATGACAGAATATAACAAGCGTCTGTATGGCTTGTCTATTGCCTATCCCAGTTGACTTTGGGGTGAGAGGCAGGGTACATCCTGGACTACTTGCCAGCCAATCACAGGACACGCCTGGATGGGGAAAACACTCGTAAAAGCTGCCCCCATGAACAGCTCATCCAAACATGTCGCCCAGTTAGTGAGTGACCATCCAGTTAGTGAGTGCCCTTCTAATGGCAGCCGCCCAAAAAGCCCTCAGCTGTGATTCAAGTGATGAGCCACATCACTGGGCTGAGTCAGGCGCAGTTTGAGTGAGGGCCTACTACACTCTATGGGGAAATTCCGGCATGAAGAAGAAGAAGAAGAAGAAGAAGAAGAAGAAGAGAGCAGCTGCAGAAAGAAGAGCTTCGGAGTCTCATAAGGATGACTGACAAGCTTGGAAACACTACAGAGGAGGCATATTATTGGATATGATGCAGCAAGTCCCCAAATGACTTCAGTTAGGACTAATTGAATGGTTCACATAATAGAGACACATTGTGCAAAATTGCTAGAAGGGAAAACAGAAACATTTTTCTTGCATCTGACGCAGGGATCTGCAACCCGCGGCTCAAGAGCATCTGCTATTTCATTTCATTTATCTACTTTGTTTTTCAAATGTAATTCCGTATTTGAACATTACACTGATCTTGGGACGTTAAAATTTAACAAATTATTTTGGGGTGGGGGGGGGGGTCCAAAAGATGCATCACGTTCGGCTAGTTGCGGGTTGGGGTGAGGGTTGTCGGGGATAGGAGGGTGAGTTAGGGTTGGTTTAGGGTTCGGGTTGAGATAGGGTTAGGGCGTTAGGATAAAAGTTAGGGGATAGGGTTAGGTTTCGAGCTTAGGGTTAGGTTTAAGGTTATGTGTTAGGTGTTACACCTTTTGATATTTTTATATAAATATATCTCTATCTATGCATCTATCGAGCTATCTATCAATCTACCTAGATGCTAGATAGAGAGCTAATAGCTAGCTAACTGTGGTCGACTGGTTAGCACATCCACCGCAGAGTTCGATACCGGCTCCGGCTTTCCTGTGTCGAGTTTGCATGTTCTCCACGTGCCTGTGTGGGTTTTCTCCGGGTACTCCGGTTTCCTCCCACATTGCCAAAACATGCATGGCTGGTTAATGGAACACTCACAACTCAACTCAACTCAATTTACACTAAGCAGCAGTTTGGCAAATGGTGTATGACAACAAACTAATCTTGGTTTGTTTTGATTCAATTTTTTGCATGAATAAACCAAAAGTTTGGTTTATTTTTAACCCAGCTGTTTTTGAGTGCACCCTTTCACGCTTAAGCACGTGGGAGAACATGGCTCTTAATGTGTATGAGCAGAGGCTGGCGTCTCGTTTAAAAACCGACACTGTCACACACTTTGGTCAGGGAAGGCTTTAGAATCTCCCCCACTCAGAACTCTGCCAGCAAATTCCGCGTAGACAAAGTGGGCACGACATTACACACCATTTACTATATTTAGAAAGATCTTCCACTACCCCCCAGGAAGCATGTTGGCTCAGCTGATTGGCCACCTTCCGGGTTGCCTGTTTTTTTCTTCCAAGGCAGGAATCAACGGGGATGCTCAGGTCGGCCACCTTATCCTGGCATCTTAAGCGGCGTTTAAACTGCTGGCTGCCTTAATACGGGGCCGTCTAAACGTTTTCCACTGTAGGCCAAATACAGAAAAATGGAAGGAAAAAGGGGGCCCAATTCATTTTGTGTTTATGAAACATGTAAAGAATCCAATATGCCAGGGGGTTAGGGCTGGGGAAAGCATAGCCTGAGGGCCAGTTCACAAATGGACACAAATGATTGCGCGCTTTGATCATTTGTATGCACTCCAGTGAGTCAATTTCTGCTTCCATAATGTCAAAAACTGTGCGCCGCTGTTCAGCTGAATTTAAGGGCATGAGTGGAGCCGCTTTAATTGGCCGCGAAGTTAGTCGGCTGTGTTCACTACCACAACGGCGCTAACAGCACGTTCATATATTCTTTTTCTTTATTCTCAACCCTGGATTTACCTTGTCATACATTTTTTTTTCTTCAATATATTTATTTATTAATTTTTTTTCAGTTTTTGGTGTTTGTGTGTTTATATATATATATATATAAAAACCCTTAACTCTTCACAACCAGTGTGACATCTTGTCACATGTCAACTATAACGCGGACATGCACAAAGCCTCCTACATCCCTACAGGAGCGCAACAAACAAATAATTGATGGGTTCCTCGCAACATCCTCTGTGGTGAACTACTCCATGAGGTACAGCAAAAAGAAGGGCGGGTGGGGGGTGGAGGGGGTCAGCGTCCATTTCGAGACCCACCGCGCATGACAGACTTGGGAAGAGGCATTTCTCCATCCTGGAGGATTTACGTTTCCCATCTGCATTGAGACTTCTGTCCTGTCCTGTTCTGCCAGACTGGGACGGATGGCGATATTGGGGGGGGGGGGTTGGAAAAAAAGGCAAATCTGGGCTGTGCTGCTTTCTCTTGGCTCAGGCTCTCACGTCTGCTCTCTGTTTGCTGTGCACACAAATCTGTCATTTTTGTACAAATATTATTTCTGTCCCCAGAAAGCTCACCGTTTGATGACATAACAGGGGCTTGTTTTTCTCCGCTTTTATGGCCGCAACAGCTTTTTATATACAGCACCTCAAATATGAGGCGCACCTTTCGAGGAGCTGCAATTATTGAAAACATTTCGGATCTTGTTAAATATTTCTACTGTCCTCCAAAAATGTTTGTTAGATGCATTCTGGGTTTGAGTGCACTTTTTGGTTGTCATTATTATTCTTGAAAAATGACATGATTTTTTTTCCTTTATTATTGTCAAGAAATTATTTTTTTCTCGGAATACCAGGACTTGACTCTTGCAACATTTTTGTCTTGTAAAAAAATGATTTCCTGTGAAATCACAAGCTTGTGATGTAATATTCTGATTTCATTCTTGTAAAATTGGGATCAACCCACAATGCATTGCTCACAAGCAAGATGGCGTCCCCCATATCTTCCACTTCCATTCATTTCCCAATGAGAATTCTTCCCCCATTCGCTCACTGTTGTAAGCCTTCAACACAGCGAAATAAAATATGCAAATGACTTTTTTTTTTTTACCTTTATTGTCTTTAATGTCCACGGCTGCCTGAGCCTCCAGCAGCAGAGAGATCATCTCCTTATTGCCGCTCAGAGCAGCGTGATGCAGAGGCGACAACCTTCACACATGCACAGATGAGGTGAAAACGTTACACGTCAATACACGCGTATGCGTAAAATCAAGAGCATAACTTGAAGCCGAATTAATCTTTGGCATAGAACAGCTCCACCCCTCGGCTCAGTGTGAGAGCGACGAAGGGGGGGGGGGGGTTCAAATGACCTACTTCCATTAATAAGCAATTGCTCTGCCCTAGAGCCTGGCATACACACATAGCGCATGTGTGTGTACGTGTGTGTGTGTGTGTGTGTGTGTGTGTGTGTGTGTGTGTGTGTGTGTGCGCGTGTGTGTGTGTGTGTGTGTGTGTGTGTGTGTGTGTGTTTGTGGACATGCGGGAGTGTCTAATGGATCCCCTGTGAATATAGAAGCCGGGCCCTGTAGCCGAATCGACCAATCATCAGTCATTAACGATGCAGTTGGAACCAATGATGTGATTCCACTCAACTTGTTAAAAAAAAAAAAAAAAAAAAAATCCGAAGCCAAATGGAACATGGTGGCAAACCGTGCATGTGCGCACATTACGATGAAACCAATCACAAAGTCTAAAAATAGGCCAAAATCAAGAGTTGTGCATCCAAGGGAACACTTACAAAAAAAAAATGTCTACTCACTCCGGGACAGAACACAATGAATTTTACTTTGCCTTTTGGGTAAATTGTACTTGGAAGAGTCGCACAAATGCTGCACACCAGTTATGTTATCACACGAAATTTTCAAGTTACGAAACGCCTCAACAGGAAAACATTGCCTCTGGTTACAAAAGAAATTTCAAGATACGAAAGGTGAAAATACAGAATGGTGTGCAACTCGCAGCTGCGAGTTTCCTGAACGCAACATACTTCCAGCTGCTCTGCCATTGGCTATTACCGAGCATCTTCCTGGCATCCCATTGGCTAAGAGGGATCTCTACCGTATGTGTATGTGTGTGTAGATAGATAGATCTGTGTCGATTCAGCGTCCTTGTCATTCACCCCTCGGGCCATGAGACGTTTCGATAGTTTCACATAAGTATGAATCACCCAGAAAAAGTGTTCACCAGTCAGTCGATCGCTCACTATGCTGATGTTTGCCTTGGACATTTTCGAAGGATTATTAAAAGCCGACAAAAGCAAACGCCCTTGGATCAGTTCTTTGCAAAACGCCAGGCAGAAACCACTTCTGAGAGAGAACATAGACTAAAGAGGGCAAAAAAACGACAAGGACGCAATTAAAAGTTAAATGACCATCATTTTTATTTTTTACTCTGTTCTTTGTTTTTTACGTCATGCACAACTCTCATTTATTGTGCGATAATTTAATTGTAACATTTGTTTGTTCCATATCTTGATGCATTTTTCTGCTTTGGAAAACATTTATATCTGAATTTTGGGGGGGCTTGGAACGGATTAGAGCATTTACATGGAAAACGTGTCCCTACTTACAAAATTTTCAAGTTAAGAAATTTCTTTTAGAACCAATTAATGTCGTAAGTAGAGGTACCACTATAAGCGTTCCGCTTGCTAATTGCTACTTTTGTTCTGATCTACTATTATTTGTTTTGGATCATCAAAGAGATTTGTGAGCAGTCACGAGAGCTGAACAATTTTGAAAAATAATCTTTTTTATTCCCCTGTATCTTGCGATTACAAAATATTTGATTCATCCAGTTCCATTTGAGTTGTTCACTTAGCATGACGACTTCCTGTCCTGTCAAACTTTTGACTTGAAGCCATCACAAAATAGTAGCGGCGGAAACATTTTCTACATTTTAAACCATTATTCTCTCATCAAACGATTTGGGGGGAAAAAAAAGGTGTTTCTCCTTACCCGTCTGCATCCTGGATGTTGACGTTTACTCGCTTGGCTGCTCCAAGGAGCTCTGAAACACAAGAAAATTTTCTAATAGAAAGCGTCTACATTTAAAACTAGGAAAAAAGATGTATTCATGTATTCTCTGCTCTCCATATTCATTTATTTCCCCGCAGGTTTCCCGCACGCTGTGCCACTTTTCGGCCTCCGGGGAGTCGAGGTGAGCTCGGGGCAAGTGACCAGTTGAATGGAAGCACAATGTCACACTGAGGCTGTGAAGGAGCCGACAGAGTCACCACTGCTACTGAATTACAACTACTCGCTGGATATACCGGGCCAAACATTCAAGCGGTGATGCAGTAATGTAAGAGACGCTATTTTGTCATTCATCTTTTTGATAATGATAGCCTGTGTAGCCTGGAGCTCATCGTATCCCAAAGTCAACGATGAAAAACAAAACTGTTTTCCAATTTGGTGGCGGCGAGGGTGGCAGATGTGGGTTTATCTTTGCAAAAAAGCGCAGTGTGAGTGTGTAAAGTATCGGTGTTTGTTTGTTTGTTTGTTGTCAACCGCGTATATTTTCCTAATGTTTGGCCGTTTGCGCATGTGAGCGCATCGTGATGTGCGTGTGGTGATAACCTTGATCTTTGAAAGCACATAAGAAGGATGAAGACACCAAACTGCAGCAAGGAGCGCTCATGCACACATTTACACACACACACACACACACACACACACACACACACACACACACACACACACCCACACACACACACACACACACACAACACACGTTCTCCTTTTTTTTTTTTTTTTTGGTCAAACCCTCATAATCCGTGCACCAGGCCGTAATCTGAGGCTGTTCTGTAATCTGGGCAAAAGCTTTTCCCCCCCTCCACTCGCCGCATCCCTATCTGCACTTCATCCCTTCATCCTGCTCTCACACTCTAATTTCGACTGTAATTTGCTAAAAGAGTGGCATCTGATTGGTGGTTGTGCGGCTCTGTTTACACTCGGCGGCTGACGAGAATGCGTGCGCGTGTGTTTGCACCCTTCCCGCTGCCATTGCTCTTGGATTAAATGTGGGAAAAAAAAAAGGGCCGCCCCCCCTCAGTGGACTGGCAGATGAATCAATGAGTACGGATATCTGTGTCAGCGTCAGACTGTCAGTTAGTCACATGAACCCCAGCAGCCGGCTGATGATCTTTTTCCCAATAGGTTGCTCTCGGGGGCATGACGCTGCGCCTATATCGCTCAAATCCATCAGCATTTGTGTTCCTTTTTTAGCCGTAGAAGAAGGGAACATTCAGAATTGCCGTCAGTGTGATGCAATGCGGTTCTGCGTCACTTCACGTGACCGTGGGGGGAGGAAAGGTGAGGCCCGATGTAATGAACCACGGCTAGGCTAGGTAAGGTTGAGCACTTACAGTCTTGAAATATTTATTGCGTGAAAATTAGTCCCCCCGTTCCCCTAAATCAGAAGACAAAAATGAATTAGTACATCCTAAAAATGAATTACAACATTTATGACTGACATTTTATTGATTTTTTTTTCTGATTTTTTTTCCCTTCAAAATGTATTCCTCAATTGTATTCATTTATTTCATGAAGAAATACTTTTTACTTTAGGTTTTAAAACATGTAAATTACCAAGCATTTTTTTTCATTGAATACATATTGTATAATATTGTGGTAAAATAAAATCAATCACATTCTTAAAAAACATTGCACATGTTGATTGGTATGAAAGATGTGGCTGATGTATGTGCTGTACTTATTAAAATTGGCAAATAGTAAAATAAAATAAGTGGATATGCCAAGTTTACATATTTAGCATTATAAATGAGGGCTCAATTGTCATTTAAAAAGGAAATAGAAAACATAACAATGAATTATTTTTTCATTATGAAAATAGTGGTATTCATTTAATTCATTCAGGGTTTTTTTTTTCCTGAAAATGGCGAATGCAAAAGTACTTATTTATTTTGCATTTATTATCTTGTTCACTAATTAGTGTGGTTATTTCCTGTCAACAAGAATAACAAGAAATATTAATCAAATGAACCATTTTGCGTGCAAAAACGTACTTTTTTACTTACTGGTTACTTTTTTAAATTGCACATTAAATTCTATTTTATTATGAATACTTTTTGTTAGTAGTAACAGGTTCATATATTCAATTTAAGTATCAAGAATTATTTCATCTTTAAAATGTTACCTATTTTACATCCACATTTTTATATCCTTTCCCATCCCGGGTGGAAAATGGTACCTAATAAAATGACCCCAAGAGTGATACATTATTGAGCATTTTATGTCATTAATTACACATTTTTCTCATCATCGGTGGGTCATGTGGAGTTCAAAATGCTATGTTAATTTTAGCGACGATGTTGCATCCGAGACAATGTTACCGTGGCAACCGCTCGACGTGCCATTGCATATGCATCTCGCATACGCTCAGCCGCTTTGGCTATGATATGAGACTGTGATATTTTCCCGCAACAAGCTCGTCTCGCGTGGCAATGTCCAAGCGTGCGATCCGCATAAAATTATTTCCGATTTCATTCGCATTCCATGCCAGTAGGATGCTTCCGGGCAACTTTTTGGAATAGACTCTCTGAAGACATCCCCCTTGAGATGGGAAGTGGTGAGGAGTGAGGTTCTCCTGGGTTCTCATTATCAGGATTCCTCAAGTCCTGTTTCGACCTCTGTCTATTTGCACATTTGCACACGCGCGTGAAAGTCAGTCGAGGCTCACGGGATGTCGCTGGAGATGATTGAAAAGTAGCAAAACATGTAAAAAAAAAAAAAAAGGCGTTGCAGCTCCGTGGTACTAAGTAAGTAAAAACTGCACCACGCTGGAGCACTCAGTTGAAAAGCGCATCATCAAGACATCATTTTGGCTTCTCACAATCAGAAAAGCATCATAACTGAATAAAATCTCTTTTCATTCTATTTAATTATGTCAATATCCATCCATCCATCCATCCATCCATTTTCTGATCCGCTTATCCTCACAAGGGTCGCGGGTTGTGCTGGAGCCTATTATGTCAATATTGCATGCTTAAAAAAAAAAAAAAAAAAAAAGTAAAATAGTATGGAGCGGCGAGTGGTTAGCGTGTCGACCTCACAGTGCAGAGGTACCAGGTTCAAATCCAGCTCCGGCCTCCCTGTGTGGAGTTTGCATGTTCTCCCCTGGCCTGTGTGGGTTTTCTCCGGGTACTCCGGTTTCCTCCCACGTTCCAAAAACATGCATGACAGGCTGATTGAACACTCCAAATTGTCCCTGGGTGTGAGTGTGAGCGTGGATGGTCGTTTGTCGCTGTGTGCCCTGCGATTGGCTAGCAACCGGTTCAGGGCGTCCCCCGCCTACTGCCCGGAGACGGCTGGGATAGGCTCCAGCACCCCTGCGACCCTTGTGAGGATAAAGCGGATCAGAAAACCGATGGAAAATAGTATAGAATTGTGTTTTCCTCATTAAAAAAAAATCTAAAATATATATTTTTTATTTATTTATTTTTTCTCAGAAGGCTTGGTTTTAAAAACTCATGGTTTCAATCACTGCGAATACTGGCTGTCACCAGTAAGGATGAGGGGACGTCTCAGCAAGGAAAATATGATCGGCTGGTGGCAGAGGTGAGAAAACGAGCTTTATTTCTGCTTCTCGTGGGCAGAGAGGGGAGGGGTGAACAGTTACACACAGAGGAGGAAGAGAGAGAGCGCAAGACGAAAGAGACACTCCAAACACAGACGTCTTTTTGTTCTGTTGATTAAAAGGGCAAGTCAACCAGAAAATGTTTCTTTCTAATCATACGTTCTACGCAGGCAGCACGATGGCCTCCAAAAAAAATCCATATCAGTCGTGCCCGAGAAAAGACTCGCCTCGCTAACTGATATTAATTTTCCTGACCGCAGAACATGAAAAAGTCTTGCTCCTCATTGACGACAGGGAAGTGCTGCCAGGATCCTCCAGCAGCGAGGCCTGTTCAATTATTCAAATGCAAATCCGCTCTCCTGTCGCGTCTCACACCTTCCATCCGTCACCCTTTAACCTCTCGTCGTGACTTCCTGTCTTTTTACCTCCTTTTGCTGCAAACAGCCCACCTCTCTCTCTCCCTCTCGGTCATCGAACACAGTGGACTGAACACTCAGAGCTGATTTGTTCTGGCATTTGAGGAGAAGCGTTTTTCCTCGCCGTGGCACTGCTGTCTGAGATGAGGAGCGGGAGGAGAGAGGCGAGCGGAGGGGTCAACACAAACGGGTCGAAATAGCAGAAAGGAGATGCAATTAAAAGGCCCGGCGACGAGGGGGTGACGACTTGAGCGGGAGGCGATGAAATGGGCGAGGCGGAGGAAGGCTGCGTTGGCAAGACTGTAATTGAAATCTAATTATCACCTCCAGTCTCAGCTGACGCCCCGTCAACAACTCTCGGGCACGTGCGCGCCGGGCGTCGTCACGTGCACTCTCGTCATCATCACACGATTACCATTAACATCTGGCGTCTTTACACACCAATAATCTCCCTGTCCCGAGAGCAGTGGAGGACCTTCATGCACTTGCACCTCGCATGGACACACACACACACACACACACACACACACACACAGCCTGTCTCACTTTAAGACATACACAACCTGTCTCACTTCAAACTCGCACACACATGCACAGCCATTTTTTTTTTCTTCGACGTCTAAACAGTCAACTATTCCACCATAGTTCATATCTTTATTGCTGTAATCATTAACGGACTATTTTTTTTTTCTTCGACGTCTAAACAGTCGACTATTCCGCCATAGTTCATATCTTTATTTCTGTAATCTTTAACGGACTAAAAAAATCAATTCATTTTTTTTCACCAAATCATCCGAATCATTCTGCCAAATATTTGAATCTGCCTCATAAAATCCATATTGGTTGGGCCCTCCTCAAAACACTCAAACACTACTATCTCAAATACTATTTTCCCATTGAAATGAATGGAAATGCCATTAATCCGTTCCAGCCGCCACAAAAAAAAATCTTATTTTCTCTGTTTGTGTTTTTAAGGGAAAACAGCCCTCTATAAATACTGCATATTATAAAAACATAGTCACAACATTGTTAAATAGAAAATAAACAAACTGTTTGTGCATTATGATTTAATGCTACAATCCAATTCACTGTACTGCTTCTCCATGTGTCTTGGCCACTGGGAGACAGTAAAATTCTATACAGTTACACAGGAAGAAAGAAGAATAAACGTCATCTACTGTTGTTAGAGACTCATTAAGACTCGGAAATATCACTCCTTTTTCATGGCAGACATGGAATATAAGCCTGTGTTGTTCCATTATCTGTCTACATGCGTTGCGCCACTATTACTATTTGAAAGCGACGAACGATGTTAGAATTAGCATTTCAATGACATTTGCCATTATGCGTTCATATGAAGTGCACACTGGCATCATGCAACAGTTATAGCTCAGGTTTGCACTTTGCAAGGTAAAGTAAAAAAAAAAAAAAACATTTTAAAATCTCAATGTCGGTTGGTGTCGGGTCACTTGTGTGTCACTGTACTAACGCACGTGCACACGCTCAATCACCAAGTGCACATATTAGCATTGTGTGGAGAATAGGTAAAAATTTCCACACACACACACACACACACACACACACACACACACACACACACACACACGCACACGCACACACACACACACACACACACAAGGTAGGATGCCAAGGGTCATGCCGCACAAACAGAAAGACAAGTGCAGCACGCACACACAGTGTACCATCCTCCCCACCCTCTAAACACTCACACACACACACACACACACACACACATCCAATCGTCACCACCATCACACGCATGCGGTCTGTGTGCAGTTTAAACAGCAATCCCAGAACTATTCTCACACGCGTGCAACGTCATCACAATTATGCTGACGTCACAACACACATACAGACGTCCTCTTGAACCCCGCACCTCCCATCCCTTGCTTCCTTGCAAAAACACACACGCACATACGCAATCTGTGCATGGAAAAAAAATAATTCAAGTGCAGTTGATGTCCAGGTAAATGCCCACACGTGCAACGTCACACACACACAAATCTCAAACATTTCGGAATTCATTGGAGCTTTTGTACTTCGTGTGTGTGTATGTTCCAGAAGGGACGGAGGGATGTCGGGCAGATACTCACTGGCTTTCCCGGGCCGAGGTCTCTGCAGGAGGCGCTGAACTGTCAGCAAGTCCTCGGTCTTGACGGCCTGGAACAGCTCCTGGTCCTTCCCCATGTCCTTCCCTTTCCCTCCACGTCCCGCCGCTCTCCTCCGCCGTTAATCCGCTGCTACATCCCGTCGCCGCTCGGGGCCTCCCTCTGGAGCAGAGGCGCGCAGGGGGAGCGAGGTGCAACCCGGGGGAAAGGGATGCTCCAATTCGGGGGGCCTGAGCGCTCCAGCACCGCCACCGGTTCCGTTCCGCGTCTGCCGCCTCTTTCAACGATCCGACAATCCCGCCCGCGCGTGTGTGAGTGGATTTCACCGGCTGAACACGGCGCTGGAGCTCTCGAGCGCCCTCCTTCTCATCCTCCCCCTCCTCCCAGCTCACGTGTCACGCACGCGCAGGGGGGCGCGCTCCCGCCGGCGCCAAAAGGATGTGAAATAGATACAGGGGGGTGCCTGCACATACGAGTTTTATTTGTTCCGTGAACGTGGTCGTCAACAGTCAAACACTCGAATGACGAATCACCATTGAAATTAGATCTGAATACCTTAAAAAAAAATGCTTGAAATGTCTTTTAATCACGACATTTCACGGAACTTCCAATGTGGAGTAAAACAAACAAATTTGATTGGCAAACTCGTTCGAACGAATTTAAGTACGTTTATGAAACGGATGTGCCATTCCTCGCGTACAACTTCCTTCAACTACATAATAACTCGACTTGTTTGAAATTTGGTAGCAACTCGATTTGCTTGATTTTTTTTTCACAGTAACTTGGGCCTGCTTGAGACCTGAAGATTTCTTGTGACTAGCGATATGCTGTATTTTTTTTAACCATCAAATCTCTCAATAAAAAAAACATTTGATAGAATTTAGAATACATATATACGATAATGAAGCTCCGTCATCACGTTGAAGGTTAAACAGCATCATTTTAAGGCAAAGAAAAGTGTGTCCCGGGCGATGAGTTCTAATTTAGAATGAAGAGGGCCGCTGCCAGTCAGATTTAGGGCATAGGAAGTAGAACTCATGGAAAAAAAACGTAGTAAAGTAGAACAATGAATGAACGATGGAGAAGTACGTTGAGGACCTTCCGAGTGCCTTTCCGGCATCTTCTGGCATCTATCGGCAATTATAAGGTAAACACTTATAGAGGTCAGTCAATGTCAACTTCACCATCGTAAGCAAGGAAGCTATTTAAACATTCAGTTTGGTTTCTACATACATTTATTCCCAAACTAATATTTTTAGGGCAATGGCGTACACATAATTACTCATCAGTGACGTTATTATCTCAAGAAATGAAACAGTGACCATAACGAAAGGAGGAAAAAATATTCCTGCTACATAAATTAACATAACCATTGTGTTGCAGTAGCCGTCATGGTACCTCCCAACCTTTCCTAGGCAACGCATACCTGGAAATTACAAAAAAAGTTTCATAATGTTTTCAGAGGTCACCCAAATTATGTTTTTCTGCCCCCTAGTGGACATTTATTTCCTTAAAGGGAACATACTACAAAAACTAGACTATAATTGCTTGTATACAAATTAGTTGGGTCTCTGGAGAGCCTGCCCACCTATGTAGCATGAAATTAAACAGACAAATAAATCTTTGATCTTCTTTTTTTTTTTTTTTTTTTTTTTGAAAACGCTTTTTTCACGTGGCAGGCCCTGGCGGCTTTCAAATATATTCTCCATTCCTGTAAATTGTGGGTAATATGTACATTATCTGAACAAGCTATTTACAGTAAAGAATCTTAAAATGTAAAGCTCATTCACCTTTTAAAGATAGATGGAAAGAGAGAACCTAGACCAGGGATGGGCAACTGCTGGAGGGGGCCCCAATTTTTCATCAATGCAACTGAAGGGGCCACATAGGATCATACACCTCCTAACCAGATGTGTGACAAAAATACCATTAGAAATATGGACAAAATATGTGCAAAATATGTGTTCGTAATCTATTTCATTTCATTTTTCATCGTACATTTCTCAATGCATGAATAAGAGAATCCACTATCCGAACCCAAAAACAATGGGTTGGAAGAAAACAACAAAATAACCATATATTATACAAATAGCTCTCTTGCAGAAAAGTACCTTTTAAGGACTGCACAAAACTGCTTTCACAAAAAATCAACTCACTACATTTTTTTAATCATTAAGGTACTGTTTGACCTGCATATCATTCCAAATCCGCAAAAAAATATTTACTTGCGTTGTAAAAAGCCGCAGGTACAGTAACGAACACACATAGACGACGCCACTCACAAAAAAGTTGAGGATCCAGTTGTGGGGTTTCTGGCTGAAGTGTGAGGATGAATGTCAAATGCAGTATATGACCTTAAAAGGTGAACTTTCAACCCGTGAATGCACTTTTTCAGTAGTTGTTGCAACTTCTTTTTTTATGCACTCGATCTTGACCAAACCACTCACAAAAAAGTTGAGGATCCAGTTGTGGGGTTTCTGGCTGAAGTGGGAGGCTGAATGTCAAATGCAGTATATGACCTTAAAAGGTGAACTTTCAACCCGTGAATGCACTTTTTCAGTCGTTGTTGCAACTTATTTTTTTTATGCACTCGATCTTGACCAAGGTGTTTATTGGACTTTTTCTTGGCTGTGTTGAGCTGTGGATGGATGGACGGATGGTGTCATGTCTGTTTTGTTTTCAGCCCCAGCTGGAGTGAAGGGCGTTTCCCTCTAGCAGGCACACTTGTTCTGAGGTTACCAATCAAGCCTGCCTTATATTTCAGAACTGCCAGGCTGCCTCGTCTCTTGTCGGATTATTGACCTCTCTCGCTGTTGTGCTTCAAGTGTTGTTTTCTCGACCCCTCGATACTCTCCATAGTCGCTCTCGTTATTCATCGGTTTTCATTTGATTTGATTTTTTTTTCTTATTAATCTTGATCTTTAGCTTCGAGTCATTGGCTTCTTGACATTTCCTTTTGTTTATTCTTGGTGTTGTCTTGTGCAAGCGCTTTGCTTTATGCATGGCTTCACTTGGCTCCATGTGATCAGGGATTTCTGTTCGTACTTTGTCGGTGCATTTTTCTGGAAATAAATCATTTTTGTTGTCGCACTTTGAATGAGCCTGCATTTCTGAAATCCAAAAACATTATTCGGTTCGGTCCAGAACTTGGATAAATAGATTTTCTCCTCTTTCATCTATGACTCAAACCTCAAACAAGATGGACGACACACACACACACACACACACACACACACACACACACACCACATTCGCCCTATATCGAGTAAGGATAGGCAAGAACGTAGTCTTTCACCTCACAACTGAGTCCTGCTAAATTTCTTATGTTCTCGGCTCCATACATGTGTACCATCGCCCTCCTGCAAATCTGCTTGAGGCGCTCGGGCCGTTGCTGGCGATACGGCGCAGTCAGTTTGCACAACGGACTCCTGTAGTAAGCCAGCAGATCAAAGAGGGAGGCGAAAGTCTTTTGGCTCCCGCAGAGAGCGAAGAGCAACTTTCGGAGCAGTACGCGGACGCTCGTTGGCCCATCTTCGCTGTAGTAGCTCAGGGTGAAGAACACGTCCGGCTGCCCGCTGTCTCTGGAAAGACAAGATTCAGTCATTTGCATGTCATTGTGGTTTATCCCATCAGGTGTTGCCACAGCAAGTCACTCTCATGAATTGGCAAATTTTATGCATGATGCCTTTCCTGACGCATCCCGTTTTTTTTTTTTTTTTTAATCTGGCTTGCTGGCTAGTGGGGCACTGAGCAGGAATCACTCACTTGCATGAGTAGAAAAAAAAAGAATCCACATGGGTCCAGAGATCCTGCAGCCCAAATACATAACACATACCACTTATGAGAACGTTATTTAAAAAACAGTTTTTTAGCATATAGCTTCCTAGCTGTAGTAGTAGAACTGGACCAAGTACCGTATTTTCACGACCATACGGCGCACAGTATTAAAAGGCGCAGTGTTATTTGTGGGTGCTATTTCTGAATTTAATACATACACAGGACGCGGTGCATTATTGGACGTAGACGTGGTCAAATGTAGGCTAGCTTAAAAAAAAAAAAACGTTCGCATGCATGCACGCTTGCGCATGTTTTTAAAAAGGCAACAGGAGCAAAACTGAGTTTGGTGGTGATAGCCTAGACAAGGGACATATCGCCCAGGGCGCAAATCTAGCCAGGACCACCACTGAGGTAACTCCAATAAGCTTTTTTCCCAAATTGGACTCACCGGATGAGAAAGGCGCCCGGTGATGCCAGCCTGAGCATTTTGTGCGCCTCCTCCATGTTCATTGCTCCCCAGTAGTAGGAGCTGTGCTGGAGCTGCTGGTGAGTGCGCTTCACCAGTTTGTACTCTTCCGGGCTGCTGAACGAACGCAGGTGAGTTGGCAAATTGGCCGCGTCCGCTCCACTCTGCACGTACAGTGAACAAAGGACGTGAGCACACATCACACAGTCAAATGTCTACTTTCCAATTTGATAGATCGGGGGAGCCTTGATTTATCAGCGAAACATTTCCTAACATCCTCATCCCCCATCATCGAACCACAAGGAGGCAGTAGAGTAACAGTCATGCAGACACAAAGGAAGACGAATCGTATATTTTCTTTTATCGGGACTGTGAATGATTCATTAGCATACTGTCAATTTTATCATTTTTCATCGAGGATAAAGAATACATGCGTGTAAATATTGTGATATTTTCTGTCCACGTGTGTTTTCTGTCCACTGTATGTGTTCAAATATTCATTCCTAAAATTATCTGGACAAAGTGAGGCACAGGGGCCAAATCTGGCCCGCCTCACAGTCACCATGAAGTCAAAATAAAACATACGTGGTGCTTTTATTTTGAAAGTGTATCTATTGATGCGCACATTTGTGATGCTAATGGGTTGCGGACATGAACAACGACGGGTGTCTTAAGTGTTGCCAACTTAGCGATGCTTTCGCTATCTTTCGCGACTTTTCCAACCCGTCCAGTAACTATTTTCCTCAAAAAGCGTTTAGGAAAATTGACAACCGTGGTCCAAATGTTCGCAACATTCGGACGGAGGAATGCCAAAAAAATCTGGCATGATAAGATTTAACGCAAATCTACAGTTGACAGACCGTACGTATTGGGTAGGTTATAATTTATCATTGTACATCACTTTCAATAATATTATAATTCCTGTTTACCGATGTACTGTATTTGAGTGTGCTGAACAGGAACGACTAATATAAGGTGAGTGTCGGTACAGTACACAAAATGAATGTTCTCATCTTGAGATTTCGTCATTTCACAGCAACATTTTGACCCGCTACTTCCCCGGGAAGCTAAAACTAGTTCCTCGTGTGGTGTTTTTGTGTGCAACAGGTACGGTGTGATCTTTAAAAGCGAAACCAAGATATTTTCCAGACCTCTGCTTCACCCTTATTCCAGTATGACAACAGGAGTAACAAGAGCCAAGCACCTGACACCAGGTTTCAAGTTGTTGATCTGAGAGGTGTAGACTGTGTCGCTGGCTCCAGTGCAGCGTTTCCAGCGGCTTCTCTGCGATGTCCTGGTTCTGTTCCGTACTCTGGACTTCTTGAGGTGTCGCAGGCTCGTCAGAAGCTGGACTCTGCTTCTGTTGGTTTGCATTCTTTTTCTTTCTTATTGTTCTGTTAGGCTTATCTCTAACCATCCTATCTGAGGGAAACCTCGGCTGGAAGACCACATATTGCACCATTTCTTCCCCCGTCCGCCGCCTGCAGAACGTCGGCTCCGGGCACCATCACCCGCTAGGTCCGCTTTGCGGCACCATGGCGCTTCGAGTTGGCATTGACTGAGGAGAGCTTCCTGCTTCCTGATTCGATCCCTTGTTTGACGGAAGGCGAGGAAGTGCTGAAACACACGACATAATGGTTCATTCACACATGCAGAAATCTGCCCAACAGTCCAAACAAAAGTGGCACTCATAGGTGGCAAAAGTACTCGGATTCAGTACATACACACACAAAAAAAAAAATACTGAATTAGTTTCCTCGCTATGAATTTTGAGCAGATTGGGTTACTTTTAACCAAAGTTTAGGTTAATTATTTTTAACCAGGAGATTGGGTCGAAAAACTGAAGTTGGTTGCCATTTTTGTGTACTGAAGTTGAAGTCCATTTAATACAACATTCTTAGAAAATGTTGGGAATAAAATTACGGGCCGTATTATTTTTAGCCACAGCTGTAGTGATAACCCAGTAGCCCATTTCTTGGTAACTTTAACTCATCAATATGGGTAGTTTGTACCCCTTGTTGGATCTAAATCTTGACCTCAAGGGGCTGGGTCAAATCCTCAACCCAATGCACTGACAAAAAATAACCCAGCATCGGGTTGGTCCCTTGTGGACACAGCGCTGGGTTAACTATTTCACCCAATTTGAGTTACTTTTGACCTAATCAAACAGACATGTTTGTAAAAATAAAATAAAGACTTGTAAAAATAGAAGCATTTATTAAATCCTGAATTTAGGTAAAAAGTTTTTAAAAAGTACAGACTGAAATGTCAGCACAATGATATTTTTTTTACATTGTGCTGTGAAGGGAAAAAAAGATTCTATTTTATTTTTAAATCAAAAGTTTTAAGGGATGTGCAGTCACGCTCCTCGTAGTGACGAAATATCTTTTTATAATGACTTTCTTTCATTGTCTGTTTTATGTGTTGTGTTGTATTGTTTCGTCATTTTATGTTAAGTGTTCTTTTGATGGTGGCGCGGGCACCCGCAGCGGCTCCTCTTGTTGTCTGTTTAAGAGGGGGGAAATTTCGCACAATAAAGTTGTACTTGATACTTGACACTTGATATGTTATGGCGCAATTTTTTTTTAATTGCTAAATCACATTTATGCCAATTCTCTCAACCTCGTAGGGAACAAATAATTGGCTAATAATTAATTTATGTTTGTGCATATTTTGCACTGTCAATATGAAATATCCTGTTTTATGAAAATAAAGAGGACTCAAAACACATTGTTAAATCAGATTCAAAATAATTTTAGGCTGCAGCACTAATTAAAGGACTGAAAATGTTGATCCAATAAGTGTAATTACTTTGAGTACTTTGCTCAACTAAATTTCCCTTGATCAGCTTGCTAATTTGTTTTACAAGCCAAAAAACTGCACCGTGAACTTTCTCAGTTAACCATGCAATTATTGCACCCGCAAACTAATTATGGAATGAAAATACAAGATGAGCCATCAGGTTCGCTTCAATTTCGCTTTGGAGGCAAGACCCCAGGCATTGTTGTTTTATTTTCAAGATAAAAGCACGTTGAAATGCACTTATGCATGAATTAAGAACAGCAATCAGAAAAACATAGACATACTGTTCAGCGCGTGCATCTTAACCTATTCTTGGATTTTTTTTCAACATATTTTAATTTTCTTTTTAAAAAAATGTGTTAAGGGGGGCAACCCCAGTTTTTCACAGGACACATTTATTGAAGGTTTATCCCCGTTTTTTTCTCAGTATTGAGGGGGGGTTTAAAAAATGCATTTTTTTTTCCAAGGCATTTATAATGTGCGTCAATTATACACTGATTTTTAGCTACTCGCAGGCCCTATACCCCGCGAATAACGGGGATCCATTGTCAATCACATGGATGCGAAATCTTGGTAAACACTGTCACAGTGAAGTCACAAAGTTGTACCCTATCGTGTTCATCGTAACATTCAGCAAGATGTCAACAAAAGGTATTTCATTGAAAGAAACGTGCATAACTTATCGGTGTGCAATTCTAATAATAATTCTAACATTATAAATGAATGAATACTTACTAAAGGTGCAGAGGACTGTTGCAGCTTGCAACTGGACCCCACTGTAAACATGTTTTACTTTCGCTTTAACTCTACCGGGAGAAGCAGGACGTCGAGGAGGAGGAGCTGTCAGAGCACTCGGTCGCTTTATGCTAAATCACGTGACTTGCAGGTAACGCTGCAGCGTCTACTTTCTCTTTCGTTCGTCTTTTATGTTGATAAGCGTTTAATTTTGAAAGGCAAGCACCGAAAACCTAAAACTGGCTAGCTATGTACGGTAGCTGTTCTCTCGGATAAATACATGGATATTTCGTTTAGTCCTTGAGGAAAATTTGATAGTCACAGCAGGAATACTCACATTTACACCAATACGAATGTGGACCATAAAATAAAGAGAAACGATTATTACGAAAACCGCATTCGAAAGTAATCAATCAAATCTAAGACAGAAGACAGAGAGAAAGATAAAGTATTACCTCTTGGGCTGGGCAGTACGGTGAAAAATAACAAAAGCGTAAATAATGTCCAATTGCTCAAAATGACTTGAGTCATGGCATCTGCTTTTACATTCGAAAAAGCTTGACTAAATAAAGTACAGCCTATATGTAATGTATTGACTATATACATTACATGGTTCATGTTGGTTCTCATGATGATGGTACTTGGGAAACAGCATTCATACTCAAGTTTAAGACATTTCTATAAAATGTATGCTTACAATTGTTGGTAAAAACAATTGTGGTGCATTTAAAATCTATTTTACTAAGTTGTTTGATTAAAGGATGAAGGAGGCGTGAAACTATTTCTTTTTACCCGGTATATGGTCTCCCTCTATAGTGTGGATTTTATTGCAGTTGGTGAATGGACCCTAGACTCATTCAGAATGCATAATGATTCAGCATCAGAATATTATAATCTGCCACGCATTATTGTGTCCACCAGAAGACACCGGCTGTTCCGCGATGACGGCTTTTCGGGTGCAAGGAGATCAGAATGAAACTGAAAGCAAATGAATTTGATTGGCCGCTTTCGCTTTAAAAATAGAGTACAATTTGATAGCCTGGTAACGAATTGTTTCCACTCGTCAGATAGATAAACATCCACTGACTCACCATGACTCCAGCTGCTGTAAATAAGAGAACAGTTAAAAAAAAATAAGATAATACACATCATTTCCTGACAACACAAATATCATGAAACCTTTATTTCTGTCACATAATGTCCTCACGGCATAAATAATGGGTCAAAAACTTAAGTATGCTTTTTTTTTCAGACAGTGCAGTCCTTCCGAGCTTCCTTTTTGTCTTGTCTGTGCATGAAATAGGCCGTCGCTGTTACGAGCAAGATGCCATAAGTAGCCAAGACGCACTGTAGGAAAGCAGAGAGAGATTTTCATCATGTCCAGATGGAAAGCAATGATAATATTTCCTCATGTACAACAGGTCCCCGCTTTAAGATGTTACAGATATAAACAATGCACTTGTTAGCGTAGTGGCGTAAAAATACAGTCGTTTTATATTTATGATTAATAAGTGATTTCTATTATTATGACAGTCTGAAAATATTTATTTATTTATTTTAGGGGCAGTAAGTAATGGATTATATTTTTAGTTAGTGACCGATATTGTGCTGAAGTATTGAAAGCATATGCATACATGTTGATTAAATTTCATACATTTTAATATGGCAAATTATGTGCCCCTGCGCCCCCTGCCCCCACAAAAAAATGTTTGCTAATATTGCAGCTGAATAATCGATCAGGCCCGAATTATGACACTTTCCATAGAACAGTTTTACCCAGAGAGAAATGAAGGGAGATGTCAAGGCATTGATATTGCACCATTTTGAGAGTATGCTGAAACACAATTTACATATGCATGCATGTTACGTACATTTCGGCGCCCCTGCAGCGTGTAGCTATTGAAGTACTTTCTCAAACCGGTCAGTTCCGCCGACGCTGGCGCCTCGATGCCAAACAGCTGCCTCTGAAGTGCCACACGCAACAACACTCAGTGAGAAATTAGCTGCAATTTTTTTTTTTAATGTCAAGTCATGCAATTTGCTTTGTGGCGCAATGACTGCTTATTGTTTGAATGTCATGAGAAACTTGTGGGATGTCAAAGACTTGAACCCGCTGTTGTTTCCGGAGTTGAGGCTGGCGCTGTTGAAACTGTTGTCGGTTGTTTGTGAGTGACTGCCTGAATCTCGCTCGTCCCTCTGCACGTGTGTGCGGGTTCATGTATGTGCTTGAGCACATACAATGGGTAGCCGACCTTTCTGTCGCCCTTGCTTGATATTTCATTTTTGTTTCCTGTAACCACTATTTCTGCGGGAACAAAACCAATTTCCTCCTCTCTGAAAAGAGGTCACACATCTCTTCAAAGTGAAACTCAAACAAACTAGTACCTGTGTGGTGTTACTTAGAGCGGAAGAAGCAAGTGAATACCTAAATGTTGAAATAAGTCATTGCAAAACTCTGTGGGCGGGGAGAAAATAGCATAGGTGTTCGCACCTCCAAACTAATACGATAAAATTTGGACTATGAGCTGTAACTTTTTTTCCATGTTGACGTATTCATGTTTTAAAATAAAACTACACGATGACGAATTTGGAAGGCTTTTCATTTCTGCTTTAATCATTCCGAAAAATGTGACATATTTCCGGTATGGCACAACCGGTTGCTATTTATTTCCGATAGCAAGGCTGAAATGTTTTGTTTTCTTTCATATTTGTATGTATTCTACCCTCAATGAACATGCGATGTTTAGTTCAGTAATTGAGTTCATTGCAATGATTAAAATAATCAAAATAATAATAATCACTGCAGTCTTTGCAATTGGAAAATGGCATTCTACTACGTTGCGATGGTAATTTGAATTTGAGGAATTGTTCAGCTTGAGCATGAACAGAGTATGTGTCTTTCTTCGGAAGTACTGGTAGTCTAAAATGTACAATATATGTCACAATCGTCAGAAAATATGATGCAGTTCTTGAAATGAATGGTCTGTAGAACCCCATTGGAAAAAAAAAGCCACAGACATTCAACTCAAGTCATGGATGAATCAGCATCGCTCACATAGTTCACGTTTTTTTTTTTTTTTTGCCACTTAAAGCCCTTTCCTTGTCCTGTTTTGTTAGTGGTGAGGTGTCACAAAATAAATAAAAAAATATGAGCTTCAAAGTCACTGTTGTGCTTGCCATATGTTTCTTTTTGCAAAATATTCACCTTATTTAGCTAACAAAAGCACATCTGCATTGTTGCTGTTGCTGGTTACTATACCGTAAAAGAAATAAGCTTTTTTTTTCCTGGAGAAGGGAAAAAAAAAGTCTACTCTTTTGTATCGTGAGAGTACGAGCTATTCTACGTGTGTTGAAAGATCGTGTTTGCATCCATGTTTTTGCAAAAGGAAAGAGGAAGCACGCATTTACACACAACCTGTAAATAAATAATACCTAACATGTCAAGGTTATCTCGGCCCGCCCCAGTTATTAAAACGAAATCTCATTCATGTTCAACGAAGTGCAGTGCTGTGTTTGAAAACAAACCAGAATTTTAGAGATTAAGATAAGAATGACGCCACCAAGTAAAGGTAACAAGCAAAGCATCTTGACAATATATAATTAATCTATATTTGAATCACCTCCATTCACAGAGAGTCGAGCAAAATGATGCTTACCTTCACCTCTGTTATGAGGTGCCCGAAACTAGTGAGAGGGATGCGGGTTTTAACAGGAGACGTCGGCATGACTGAACACTATTCACTCACCTTGTTTGAAAAAAAAAACAAGACATAAGTATAATTTGCTACGTTCAAAAATGTCTATTTATTGTCTCGAAGCAGACAAGAGGGGTCACTTACACAAGTTGCTTCATGAGTGCAACGTATTCCGGGTTACTGTTACGACAACAAATTTTGGCCAATCCCAAGGTTTTTTTATTTATGATTGACCAATAGACGGTTAGGTTGGTGAGTAGTCATGCTAGCAGTTCGGATACACAGGCGACATGTAATTTCTCACTTTTGCCACAGGAGGGAGGAAGATTCACACTTTTCCACCGCCATGAAGATTTTTAGACAAATTAAAAATTAAATTCGACGTACTCGGAGTTATGTATTATAGTTCTAAAATTAAATACATTAATTTATTTAATATCTAATAATTTTAATCACATTAATGTAACAGACAAACAAAACACCAAATAAATAATGCAAATTACTCATTTTAATCAATGTATGGCAACAAAACGCAAATCTGTATTTGAGTCAATACACGTGATGACTATCTTGTAATTCCAACTTTAACCTACTAACACATTCCTAAAGTCATACAGTAAGGATTTGTGTGAAAAACACTTCCAGGCCAAAACTATAAAACAATCAAATGAAAAACACTCAGGACGGCGCAAAATGAACGTGCTAGTTAGCACACCATTTGTACCCATGAAACTTCGTAATACTCTGTTAAACTGAGATCCCCCTAAAAACAAGTTGCTATAAGTATGTAAGTATTTTTTCTTGAGTGAAGCCCACTTTGAGTAAACTGACACAACCGCCCAACACGCGTTTGTTAACAACCGGTAGAGCGCTTTTGCCTGCTCTCAAACACACCCACTTTTCATCGAGTTTGCTCGATCGTGCACAAGCATGACAAACTGGCCAGGCTCTACTTTTGTGTCTAATTCTTTCTGGTTCACCTTCCGCCCACAAACCTTTGTTGGATGCTGTGAAGAGGAGGTGCGCAGTTAAGCCACAAGGAGGAGGAGAAGTGACATGAAGCTCAAAAGAGCAACAAGAGACAGGTCTGATTGGACGTAATGAGAAGATGTAAAATGTGTGCTATTATGCTTATGATGTGTGGGTTGAAACGATCCAATTCTTAGAGCTGGCCCTTTTTTGGGGGGCGGTGGGGGGTCAAAATCATTGGTCAAAATGCGTGTCCATTGTGCGTAATGGTGCTTGGTGACAAATAAAGAGGTGATAAAAAATATGAGTTCCCTGGTGGGTCACAATGACGTGTAATCAGCACGCTGTGACCTGTTTATACTCTTTCTTTCTTTTTTTCTTCATTTTTAACAATGTCATGCTGCTAGACGATCTGGTTGGTGAGGTTTTTCACTGTGTCTTTAGAGTGAATGTCCGTATATGGCAGAGCGAGACTAATGGGATCAACTTCAAATATTGTATTATTTGGATTGTTTTAACTACACAGCACTCACATGTTATTTTATTTAACAGATGAATGTCAGAAAGAACATTTACGTCATTGGATTTGTAAAAGGGCGTTTTTTTTTCTCCAGTTTTAAGCATGACAACCGCTATTGTGTTTGCTTGACTTGTTTCACCACTGCATTGTGTGTACTAATGCTTGAAGAATCTCCACGAATACAGCACAACCGCCTTCTGTCTTAACCGGTGTTATTGCTGTGGAGATGTGGACTGTTTTCTGTGTCACAGTGACAACTGGACACGCCGCACATGGAAGTGGAAAAAAATGTTTCTCCAGGTGAACCGAGTCAGGTCCCCTGGAGGAATATTTTTTTAACTTCCATAGTGACAACTGTGACCTCATGGCCTCCTAGAAAGTAGCCTCGTGTGGCTGTGTTGCTTAAAACATAGATATATATTTGTAGCATCTGTAATGTGGTTAAATTGACGAAGCAATCCGGCACAATTATGGCCAACTAAATTCCAACAGAGCCAACACAATAACGAGACACTGGGCGCAAGACACCCACATAATGGTAACTAACCAGTGGCAAACCAAGGAGAACAGAGACCCAATCGGATCAAAGCTCATGTGGAATATTAGTAAGAAAATAAAACCAAATCAAAAACAACGAAAATAGCTTGGAAAAAGCGTATCCCTGCTAAATTTCAGTCAAAAGTATCTTACCAACCCGTCAAAGATGATACTTTTTTTAACAAATGACAGAAAAAAGAGCTTTAAAACACAACTGATTTTAATTTTTGACTCATTTAAGCTCCCCTCCCCGGAGTACCGGAAGAGAAAAAAATTCTGGAGGCATGCCGGAAAAGGCTAAACCGTAATTATCTGCAATGGATGAATGATACCAGTCCTTTGGAGCATGACATCATGAAGCAACTGTATATATTTTTTGATTATATTTAAGTACATAATTACAGCATGCTTTTAAAAAGTGCAAAATACCGCAGACTGCTATGTGTTGTCAAAAACAAACAAACAAATTGGGGTGCTTTCATGCGACTGGAACGGATGAATGGCATCTCCATTCATTTCGATGGGGAAAGTGGATTTGAATCCGAGTGATTGGAGTTACGAACATGGTCAAGGTACAACATAGCACGCCGTTCGTATCATCGAAACGTCGCACGCAGGGAACGTCGTAGCAAGCGAGAGACCGAAAGAAAGGAAGAAAGAGCGAGTGAGGTAAGCAAGCAGAAACACTGACAGTCAACAGGGAAGCAAGCGAACGGCACGACGGCGACACGCCGGAAGAAGCAACAGCGAGCACAAAACACGTCGGAACCGACCCAACGCTGACAGCAGGGGCGGGGAAGACGACGACTAGGGGTGGAGGAGGAGGAAGAGACACCTGCACCGCGACTCGCTCTCCCCCCACCCCGCCGCCGTCGCTGCGCCCCTCTTCGGACCCCCACTTCCTCCTCATTCCTCTCCCACGGACCGCCGCCTCCACCACCACCACCACCTCCGCCGCTTCCTCGTTAAGATGGCTGACCCCGGCAGCGACGGAGAGGTGGCGGAGGGCGCGCGCGGTTTCGCTCGCCAGGGCGCCCTCCGCCAGAAGAACGTCCACGAGGTGAAGAACCACAAGTTCATCGCGCGCTTCTTTAAGCAGCCCACCTTCTGCAGCCACTGCACCGACTTCATCTGGTAAGCGATGCATGTGTGTTTGTGGGTGGGTGGGTGGACACAGGTGATTCACTTGATGCCGCCGCAGTGCTTCCCGAATCCGGCAATCGCGACCGTAGCACCGGGGACGTCTTCGTTTGCCAACCGCGGCTTGGCTGCTCTTTTTTTTTTTTTTTTTTTTTTTTTTTTTTTGCCGCATCGCCACGCAGCCCCATCCGCAGGCACGCGGGGGCCTGCTGCATGCCCATGTGTGTCATTGAATGCGTCATGAGTAATCCACATTAGTGGGTGAATACTGAAAGGCATTCACCCAACGTCCACGACAACCCAAATTCTTTAACTACACAATTCAAAGCCCTTTTTAAATAGTCTTTCCACATTTTTCAAACGATGCAAACCATTGCAATTTGAACATATTCACAAAATTCAGGACCCTCCGGATGACTATTTCTCACTTTCTTCCAAATGACCATATTTTTCGTTCTTCCACATTTTACACACTTGACAACAGTCCTAAATGAATGCAGACATTTTAAAGACTGACATCATCATTTGACATTTATCAACTGTCTTAAACAATTCCAACTTTGAAAAAAAAATCACAAAATCCAAGCAACTATTTTTCATATTCCAACATATTTCAGTATCGTATGACAACATTCACAAATGATATTTCACTTCAAAATGATACAAAATCCAGGATCTTAAGGCAACTATTTTTAGGTTTTACATAATCAGGATTTTGGAGCCCATCAGGGAGTTTAACAAACTAACTAACTAACTAACTAAATAAATAAATGAAATATAACTGATCACTGAGCAGTTCAGAAGATGGACCAATTTGAGTAAAAGTATAATGCATTGGGGGAAAAAACAAACAAACAATGAAACCCTAAAAATTGTCCCAAAAACATTGATAAACATTCGATCAACGGGAAATGGGGAGGGAAAGCACGAACCCTCCCACCAAGACATGGGAAGAAGAAGCAAGACTATATTGCTGAACAGAAAGGGGGGTTTTGAGGCAGTTCATTATTTACTGATTTCTCCCAAATAAATTGATAAAGATTAAAAATAAAAGCTAATATTTTCCTGATTTAAATCAATAATATACATAAATTAAGCTGAAAAAAATGGACTACCCCGGCCGGCCCCTTTAAACATTTCACGTCCGTCTTCCACAATCAAACCATTCTCACTTCAAAATGTTCAATTTATTCAGGACATCTGAGCGTTATTCTTTTGTGCTCCCTATTTTCATCATTCACTACAATTTCTCCAGGAATGACATTTTTCGTATTGATCTTGTGTCCGCAGGGGCTTTGGCAAGCAAGGATTCCAGTGCCAAGGTAAGGAGACGGTTCATTCACAAACACTTGCAAGACGACTGTCTGTGCCTTCTGGGTAAAGTGGGCCTCAAGGTCTGCTTTGTGTCACCGTGACCCCGTCTGGGCTCTCACCGTGCCGGTGTTGGCGGGTGTTTACCTACGGGGATGAATGAGCAGTAGGATGATATCAAAGGCGAGACTAGGATGTTTCCCCGCCGCCTTCTTGGGTTTTGAGTGCCGGTAGGGCGGGTGGATGGTTGGCAATGACTGCCTGTGCGCCCGGGGTGTGTTGAGTTTCACGACGCCGTTCAAATCGCCCCTGCAAATGTTGCCGCGCTTGCTGTATCACTTCCTCTTCTCCACGCGAACACCCGCATCCAAATCAGCATGTCAACACAGCGGCGATTCCTCTCACGAGGCCATTCGAAAACCGTGACAGACTCCGACGTGATTCCCTCTCCCGTACGCCAGGTGGCTTTCACTGCCGCCGCTCTGCGAGGTGCTTGAGCCTCGACGTATATTGTACGTGTGCCGCCACTTTGTTATATAATGCGAGGTTATTTCACCTTCCCCAATTTATTTTTTATTCCGTCTGTATACTTCTATTGTGCAAGGTGGCAGTTAGCTTGACTGATTGACAAGAAAAGCAGGCGCATTACTAACGGTGTGTGTGTCAAAGGCTGTGTGCCACAGATTTTTTTATTGAAGAGGTTGGTTATTTCTAATCCCCGGTAGTTTGGTTTATTTTTATTGTGCGAGATGTAGGTTGTCATGAAACATTGGTGAGAGGAACGTTCGTATGACGTGATGTGGACATTGCCTGTGCGTGAGCAAGCCATAGCCGCGGACTTCTATTTTTGATGCTGTGGATTATTTCTAATGGTTGTTTGTTTTTAATCATGCGTAGACTGTGGACGTGTCCGTTTGAAGCTGTGGATTATTTGTACTTGTTGTGTTCCTTTCGATTACGCAAGGTGGTGGTTCTCATGAGTAACTGGGTGGGAGGAGTGGCGGCGTGAATATTATGACATAAATACAGCGACTGATGGCCGTCAACTTTTTTTTGTTGTTGTACTTTTACTGTGGAGTTTTCTTCTTGATTGTGTATTATTTCGAGCGGTGGTGTTAATTTTTGTTGGGCAAGGTGGTGGTAAATATGAAGATTTGGTGCGAGAGAGAAGTTAATGTATGGCACGGCGATGTTGCGCTCCAGTCTGTTGCTGGGCCTTGTCCCATTTCTTCCAGGCGTGTCGGACGAGGGCACCGATCAGCACACGGGCTCAAAACACAAACCCAAATTTCTCATGTGTTGCCGTAACATTGCCACATAATGTGTATACATTTATGGAAGGGCACAGACAATCAAATCCCCTTTTCCAGCAAAGTGATGATTAATAAAATAACTTACATCATTTTACCCAGAAAAACCTGGAAATCTTTTTTTTTTTTCTCAAGAAGTTTATTGACAACCTCGGTTGAAGTTTACAGTTAAACTTGTACAAAGTAAAACAAAGAATTAAACTCTTCCCTTTTTTTTTTTTTAGGTCCACCATATAAATGCTAATGCTAGAAAATGTGGGGAAACTCAATTGATGGGCGAATGCTAGCACTAGATAGCATCTATGTTGGAGTGGTACAATCCATTAAGTTAACGGATGTTTGACCAAAAATAATGCAACAGACAATATGACACGATTCGCATATCTTCCTTTGGTGCATATCATCATATTATTTATGAAATCACCACTGGCCCAGTCGGGCCAGCATCTGTAAGGTATGTGGTGCCTGCCATGCCATACCGGCCCAGGGCCATTGAGCCACCATTAATGTCGGACCGCGGATAGGTAAAAGTGAATACCGGATTTTTCTGTCCTTTCCACTAATCACAATTCAGTCACAGATATCTGAAATGAACATTTCCTGCTCATCAATACATCATTTACGAGAGAAGAAAAACATTGTTGATACGTTTGACAAAATTCATTGTGTGACTGTAAAGTCATTGGTGCAGGTTCACCTCGTGTTGTGTGGCATGTGCATGATGGTTGAGTTTCCTGCCCACCAGCAGATCACTAGCAATTAACCCCGGCAGCTTGTGATGTAAATATTGATCTCCTTCTACGTTGGTCCAATGACCGAGCAGTAGATCAAGCCTCAGTTGTGACAGACAATCGACAGGTTTGTCTGTCGCAAGTGATTGTCAGGGAGTAAAGGTCGTAATTGACAGAATTTACTGTATCTTAAGGTCCGCTTATATACACGTCTTGTCATTGCTTTTGGGCAGCTCATTCTGTCAAATCGAATTTATTTAAAGCTGCGTTGGCTTTTTTTTTAAAGCAGTTTCAAGCTCAGAGACGTAGTTGCATTATAGGTGTGGCTAAATAGGATAATGGACTAAACTGCAACCGCAATAGTAAATATCGATATCGATGACGTCAATGAATACCTCTCTGACAAGCGCCAATCAAAAACCGAGCGCTGTGGTCTTTGTGAAAGGCTGCGTTTTTGCATCGAGCTCTTGCATCGGTTTCAATTAGAAAGAGCGGGCGTCAAGGAGATTCGAGGAGAAGCGTGTGTACTGCTATCGTGATGGGAGGAGCGCCAGCGCGGGAAGGAATGTCAGACACGCGGCGTAGACGTGTTCTTACCCGTGTGGATGCCTGTTTGACAAAGGTGTCTCCTGTGCATTCTTCGTGTGTTTCCATACCTGTTCTGCAGGTCAAGATACCTCCCTTTAGTCCATCCTTCATGTGTTTTGATGAAGTGGTTGTTCGGTAGTAGATTCCCATGTTCACTAAAGGGGTCAAGGGGGGGAGAAAGGAAGTCACGTTTGCTTAATCTCCTGCGGAAGTGTCTCACCATATGCTTCATTGCGGGCATGGCGCAGAATTTAGTGATGACTTACCACTGATGAGGCTTTTCCATCAAACTTGGCTTGGTACTGCTCGGCCTGGCGCTGTTTTTGTTTTGTTTTTTCCCTGTATTTCAAAATTGTAGAGCAGAATACAAACAAACGGGGATAGAGGAGAAGGAAGGTCAAGTATGCAAAAGTTGAGATTCAGGGCAACTGATAGTCTCAGCAAGAGTCCAATGTTCGCTGTGTTTATTGTTGTCATTTCAAGCCGTGTGTCCTCAAATGGTTCGAAAGTCCCTTTCACACATTTTTTTTTTTTTTTTTTTTTTGCATTTATTATTTTATTATCCTGTGCCTTACGGAGATAACTCATAAAAGCGGGCATGTGTGACGTATGTCGTTCATTTGGTGCCATGTGCAGTAACAGATGAGTGCACTGTATCACTTTTAACCCCACACCACAGGATTATCGTTTAGGAGAATCCGAGAATCAGGGCTTGGCGGACTTTGATCAGAGGGTGGAAAATGCTCAAATTCGGCTTAATTTGGCATTAAAGTGGTACCTCTACTTACGAGATTAATTGGTTCTGGAAGAAATTTCTTCAATAGAAAATGTAAGTAGAGACGCGTTTTCCATGTAAATGCCCTAATTTGTTCCAGGCCCCGCCAAATTTCAGACAAAAATGTTTCCTAAACCATAAAAATGCATCAAAATATGTAACCAATGCATGCTACAATTAGATCATTGCGCAATAAATGCGAGTTGTGCATAATGTAAAAAACAAAGAAGAGAGTAAAGAATAAAAATGATGGGTCTTTTAACTTAACTGCGTCCTCCACGTTTTTTGCCCTCTTTAGTCCATGTTCTCTCTCGGAAGTGGTTTTTGCCTGGCGTTTTGTAAAGAACTGATCCAAGGGTGTAGAATGCCAGGATGATGCTCGGTAATAGCCAATGGCAGAGCAGCTTTAAATCTGTTGCGTTCAGGAAACTCGTAGCTGCGAGTAGCAGCCCATAGTGTATTTTTACCTTTCGGATCTTGAAATTTCTTTCGGAACAAGAGGCAATATTTTCCTGTTGAGGCGTTTCGTAACTTGAAAATTTCGCATGAAGAGACGTTCGTAAATAGATGGACCACTGTATGTCTGTAATCTGCTTGAAATGACAATTGCAGGTCCCCTTCGATGTTTGGAAAGAGTTCTGAGAGCTGGGGGGTTGGATGACGCGTCCACCGCATAAAAAGTCTCACGGCTAACGTTGCCGCTGACGAATGCGCAACCTTGAAGCCGAGGCTGCTTGATAGAATTGCTGCTGTCCAAAATGTCATCCTTGAGAACAGTAGACCTCATAAGGCATATTTCTTCCTCCAAGCAGGCCAGAAATGACTTCATTGATATGTTTATCTGCAATAATTCACGTCAGCCGAAATGCTTCTCTTTTATTACCTCCACCAAGGAGAAGTTTTCTTCAGCCAGGATGACGCATTGAATCACTAATCAGTTCCCCGCACCTCTGACGAACGTTGCACATCCCCCATTTGTCAGTAATAAGCTCATCATTTGAAGTCCGGGGTCTCATCCATAATTATTGTTCCTCCCATCAATACGCAAAGTTAACCTGAGAAGACCAAGGCGCTGTTCTCACACTTGGCACTCCACTGGCTGCCACTCATTTGCAACAGATTTGATTTCCTTTTTTTTTTTTTGGGCAGTAATGACAAGATGGGGGTGCAAATCTGGAGTTCTTCATTTCCAAAATGCCAACAATCCCGAAAATTGTCACGACTGTATTAGATTCGACACTTGTTCCGGTGCGTAATTGTTATTGATTAGAGAAAAAAAAAGGCCAGGGCTGACTTCATCCTGCTCATTGACTGATTGACAGTGTTTATGATGTTGTCGTTCTAAGTGACTGCGACGACAACAGGGGACTCAGCCGGTCTAAGTCATCGAATGTGAGGTGTGCATGGCATCGCATAGTTTGGCTTTGAAAACAGACTCGTTGTGGTGCTGCGTTGGCGAGTCAGCATGCTCGCACACGTCTTTTCATTGTTTCTACTCTGACAGCTTGAAGTCCTTTTGCGTTGTGTTTTTGAAGAGCCAAAACGGCTCGTGAGATTCACTTCACGTTAGCCTGCATTCCGTCATCTCACTTTAGTGGCTCGTCACTGAGGTCGTAACCTTAGTCGAACGAACTGCGGCTTTACCCTTGACATTTTTTGCAGCTTGGTAATGCCCCTGTAGCTATTTGGCCCTGGAACAGTGACAGACTGCTACTGGAAGACACACAACTGGTTACTTAATTTAGTCCTATGCGATACACGGATGTAAAATGGCCAGGAATTGATTAATTGTCATCCAGCTTGGACTCTCACCCCAAATCCCCTTTTGCTATTTCTGTTGACATTAATGAATAAGTTATGAATCCACTGGAACGGGGTACTGATCGTACTTTTTGCGAAAAAACACATCATAGTCCAAGAAATGGCAAATTCTGTTTTAAGCAAAATGTGAAGCAAAGTGCACTTATATTGAGCTTTATTTACATCATGGGTTGTCCAGAGTGCTTTCCAAAAGCTTCATAATCACTTATTTGGAAACGTATTGATTGAACCAGTGACGTGACGTTGACGCAGACGTGTCAACGTCCCAAAAAGTTTTTCTGTTTAGCTTAAACTAGCTTTCGTTAACCGAGTGCCTCGCCGTGCCCTGGTAGAAGCCAGAGTGGGGTTTTTTTGTTTGTTTGACTGTTTTTGGTTAAGTTTTAAATAAAGCCGCGTCTTAGCTAGCGCTAAGCTAGCTGAGGCGTTTGTCTCTCCGGTCCGGCGTCCCAAGTTTGCAAACTCCCTTCGTTTGTTGCTATGGCAGCTTGAGAGGCCACGAGCAAAGCAAGCATAGAGGCATTGATACACTGCATAGCGGGGCTTTATTGACTGACTGCTGAACAGTTTTATTGAACGCTCATTAGTTAACTATTCTCACACGCTTCCGGGATCTCATTTGAAGAGCCCGCCACCTGCATTCACGCGACGCATGCGCACTCCCCACAAACACGTATGACGAATACGGAGTTGCAATTTGCATCTCTGGTGGAGTCGGTGTACACTGTGCGTCTTAATCCTGACACCGGTTCAGCCACTGACTTCTGAATCGAGGCGGGTTTCAAGTGTTCTCAGGCATCGTAAGTCACGCCGCGGCGTCTGGGGGAACGAGAACCACCGCAGCTTCCGACCGGGTTCAAGTTCCAAAAAATAAAACACCTCAAACTGTGATGCAGCGAAAGCCACCGAAGTAGCATCAGGCCATCTCACTGTGCTTTATTCAGTGTAAATCTGGCACGAGTGTGAGTGCTAAGTGTCTGGGTGGGTTGAAGACTGTGAAGTGTCAGTCCTCCGGCGTCCTCCTGGCAGATGTCTGCAGGAATGCCCCCCCCCCCCAAAAAAACCCAAAATGCTTTGATTTGCTGCGAACGCTGCCAGTCACTCTGAAAGGGGAGGCGCCGGTAGGCTCGACTGTCAGGCTCGCTTGGTTGCCAGGCAACAGAGCAAAGACCTCCGCGGCGGGTCACTCGGCCTGTCTTTCTGTTGGACGCCTGTATGTGTGTGTGTGTGTGTGACTGTGAGAGTGTGTAACAAGGAAGATTTATGAGCAAAGGGCTCGAGTGCGACTTGAAGCTGCGCCGTTTGCTGTTCCGTTTCTGCTTTTCTGAAACGCTGCAAACACACACATATGAATCCTCCGCCCCCTCGGACAGCCTCAAAAACCAGCTGCGCTCCCATCTCTTCCTGTCCACACACATACGCACATTGTTTGTCTCTCTGTAACTTCCAACTCCTCCACTCCATTCTCTCACCCTCCTGTCGCGCTTCCCCTTTTCATTCACTCGCTGCATGTTTGCTTTGTGCGGCGCTCCAGATGGACACAACTCCATCTTCACGCTGTTTAACAAACACTCCAGCCTGTAGTGGTTACGGTTTAGAAGTTTGCTTTTTTTTTTTTCAGGGGAAAACAGGTGTCTGGAAAGCGTGCGGAGCTTTTATAGAGAAAGGGGAGCCTTGAATTAGCTCGCTTGGAAGCACAGATGTGGGGTTTCGTATGCCGACCATAAAACAATAATAATAATAATAATAAATAATAATAATGATGGTGGTGGCGCTGAGTGAAATGCTCTCAAAAAAAATGAACTCTTTGGCAGATCAGCTTGCAGAGCGCCTGTTCATGACTGAGGAATAATGCTGAAATACACTTAGGTTTATAATCAGCCGGACTTTTTTTGTATATATAATCATAATGCTTATGACATTCAAACAACCTCCCCAAAAATGACGGTATTTTTTTTCCTACTGATTTTTTTTTTTTTTACACAGTACAACATAAAGCAAAGACGTTCAGCTGATTCCCTCCGAAATTGGCAGATTTTTGCCAATTTTTCTTTGTAGTAAAGTTTAACAAATACTGATATGAAATGACAAAAAATTGTAAAACAGTCAATGTTCCACCTCTAATTCATTTTATATATAAATATACAGTATCAGCATTAAAAGACCAAAAAAGGTTATTTTACTTAGCAAATGTATTATTTGTTTTGATTGGCCGATTGATGAGTTATCGGAATTTTATCCTATCAATTAAGGCAAGCAGCCTTGGCCTAAAAATCTCCATATCGGTCAAGCCTGAGTTAGGTTCAATAGAAATTGTGCAGTAGAGTTTCATAATATGGCCTTTACACACCACAGAAATGGAGATGATGATGTTTTCCGAAAAAAAATGGCATTTAAGTGTGAGTTTACTTTCTCTTTGTGTGTGTGTGTGTGTGTGTGTGTGTGTGTGTTGGGGGGGGGGGCGGTGAAAAGCTCGCTGCGTTCACATTTGGCTTCAGTAGGTGAAAATCCAAATTTGTTGGCTTGCGACCAGGCCTCAGACTTGGCCTTTGTGTTGTGTGTGTGTACATTTTAATTTGCATAGTGCTTCCTATTTATAGCGGCACGAAATGGTTATTATGCAATTGACTTGATGGCGAGTAGCCGGAACAAACGGTATTTAATGTTCTCTGTTTATTAATCACTTGGAACAGACTCCAAGGTAGCAACCCTGATGTGGAGAAGTCGGTTCTGCGGCCGATGCAATTATACAAATGAAGTCTCACGCAGGAAATAGCACCGTGATGGTCGTAAGTCCCTTTGGAAACTGCTGCCAGTTTCCCTCATGAAAAGGTAACGACTGTGTGAATAATTAAGATTAAACCCAAGGATAATGTCACGCTCTGCCTGACTTCTTTCTGGCGGTCGCAACATTTTCTTACTGCTTATTTTGGTCAGTGTTGCTTGAAAAGTCAACCTGATACAAATATGTATCATCACAGCAGATGATTGCTTTCGATAAGGAATCTTCCAAACAGCAGTGAGGTGTTGGGTTTGAGTTCGGCGTTTGAAATGAACAATTTCTGATTGAAATGAGGGTTTATTGATTTATTTAAAGCTTTGGCCCACCTCTGATTTAAAAAAGGGGGGGGGTAGTCTTTAATGTTGTGATAATAAACAGAATATATCTTTCACTAGTTTCTACAGGCCCATTTGAAGGCTGGCTAACATTTTGCTTGTCCGGAAGCTACAAAAAAAAAAAAAAAAAAGAATGATTTCAATAATGCTCTCAGCAGTTGACATATGACCAGAAAGGATTTGGTGTCCTGAACTCCTCCCATTGAAATGCATTAAACTGTCATTATTGATTCCCAAAAAGAAAAATGAACATGTCATCATCCATACTATGTCCCGAAACCCGACATCAATGTTAGATGGGCATAGTTCACAAAATTCTTCGTAAATAGTCAGTAAAATGATACTCAGTCTGATTGTTGGGTTACCGGCAATGACCCAACGGCGGTGAGCTGCTTCCTTCTACTTTGCCACATCAACACCCTCAACTTCTCCAAACGACGAAGATATTTTGCAAGCTTTCATACCCGCCATTCCAAATGATCAGTATTTCGAGTTTTGCAGTGTGCCTGTGTGTGTTCCGTGTTTGCGGTCATCTCAGAGCAGAGAGACCACCCCCCACCCCCGCCTCCTAAAACCACCCACCCACCTCACTCAAATCAAATCAACAAGTGGCGAGCTTGTTTGACGAGGGTGAGCCTTCGTGTTTGGCTGACGTGATTTCGATTTGTTGCTCCGTGCTGCGATTGAATAAAAGAGCAACTAAATATAGCACTCGGTAGGGACGGCAAGCTGGAACCGCCGCCGAAAAACCAGCGGTCTATTGTGAAATGACTAATGGCGCATAATTGGCATATTGATTCGTCTTTTTATCTTCGCTTGATATGAGATTGCGAGTAACATTTTCTTTTCTTTTGGGGGAATTTCTCTCCTCTCTATTTTGCAGTGTGCTGTTTTGTGGTCCACAAGCGCTGTCATGAATTTGTCACCTTTTCCTGTCCGGGCGCCGACAAGGGACCCGCCTCCGACGTAAGTCAATCAAATGCGCACTACAGCCACATGTACCTCGAATGTGGGCAAGGAGAGTCACAGTCGCCGGTAAGCTTTTAGATGCAGTTTGTGCAACAAGCACAGGACAAACGGTCAATACGAGATTACAAAACAATCGCAATGAGCTGCCGGCAGCACACAACTCATGCCCAGAAGCGGATATTCGAGACACCGATGTCGCTCAATGGGCCACGCCCCTCAAAGGTGCACATCCGACACAAAAATACTGCAGTCGCAATAGTAATTATTTACTTTGTAATCTCAGTTCATTTCTTTACGTTCTCTGTTATGTTTCATTGTGTTCTTGTATGAGTTGTCCCGATCTGATCACGTGATTTTCAGCTGTTATTGACCTAAAACTATTAATGAATGAATTCTTTTCAACGGAGCGGTCTTCATGCAGCAGTCTGTGCATGTTCTCTGGAGCTTTTGTCCGAAATAGTTGCAAGCTTTTGTGCTCATCTGCAAACTCGTTCAGCAAAAAGGGACACAGTGTGAGAGGTGGAAACATTTTGCATATGCGGCTGACGGTCGGGACAAGCTAAAAGATACGACAAGTTAAACTAAGTCAACAAAGAAGTACAGATCACAGCGGGGAGCGATATGGCCCGAGAGCTCAATGAGCGGCGTCAGCAGAGTTCAAAGAGCGACCCCTTCGCAAATGTGACGCATTTCAACGACTTGCTGCACCCCCCACCCACTCCAAATCGAAATTTAATGAGTGTGAATTATTTTGTGACAGGGATGAGCAATTCGAAAAATGGATGGATGGATAGCTTTGCCCTAATGGCTGCATTTAATGAGGCAATTAAGCAATAGCGGTGTTCACAGATGAGTGGAGTCGACCACTCATCCTCCGACTACGCAGCTGCATTGAGTCATACATTTAACTTGGACGCGCTTTTAAATAACATTGCATTGCCAAGGTGTCGGATCGGACTCTGTATTCGCCGTTACTCAAAAAATCAAGAGAATAGCCCGAATCAATTGCAAGTTTTCTTTAGGCAAGGCAAGGCAGCTTTACTTTTAGCGCATTTCAGACGTGAGGTAACTCAACGTGCGTCACATAATTAAAAGTACATTTTATAAGCATTTACAAACAAAATAACTCGTGACATTTGAAAACAAAGTCAAGAAATAATCAGTAGCTTACTAAAATTACTATAAGAACGTGCAGTGCAGAAAAAAAGATTTTGGAAAAAATGATTTTTTTGAAATGATCTAAATGACGTTTTAACCTAGATTTAAAAGCGTTCACACATTGGTCTGATTTCACCTCTGTTGTTCCATTTGCGTACAGCACAACAGCTAAATGCTGATGCACCAGGTTTGCCTTTTTCATTAAAAACAAACAACAACAAAAAAACTGTTATCTTGGGTGAGAGAGTGCTGAAATGGGGAAATAATTACTTGATGTTGGCAACTCCCACTATGAGACGTTTCTGATAATTGGTCAGTGTGTTTGCACACCGCCCAAGAGGGATTTTGGCCCACACTTCCTGACAGCAGAAACTCTAAATTCTTCAAGTTGTGCCTTTCTTGAGCGTAAACATTGAACAGCGGCTCAATTTTCTCCCACATTGTACTTCAGTCACTCGGTATGTTTACCCAACCCAGGTAAGTTAAGCAAAAAAAAAAAAAAAGATTTGGCCAAACTTCAGCTGTTATGCTAGCAAGAAAACCAGTTTTACCTTGTTTAGCAGGGGACCTTTTCCTCTTGATCTATGATGTCACATCAAATCAAGGTAGCGGTGGGTCGCTCATAGCAAACTGGTACAATGCCACGCAGTCGCTTCTTTTTGTTGTTGTTCTCTCTTTTAATGGTTTTCATCTCAAGGGGATGGAAACATCTTGCTCGTCAGATTTAGAAATGTAAGGGAAGTCATTTTGCTCAATAATCCGTAACTCGCATTTGCGCCAGATAAACAAGTGATGCAAAAGAAGGCCCCCCCCCCCCCCTACCCGTCATGATTCAAATTCAATATCAAGTGTTACAACCTCAGGTTGCATTCAAATGAAACGTTCATATGAATGTGCTGAGTGAGATGGAGTTCAAGATTATGAACACAATTAGCCATGCCAGCACTGGCCCTTGGTTTGCACTCGCACACAAACTCAATGGATGCCCGTTTCCTGTCAATTCCAAATCACATTCAGATGTAAAAAAAGGGGGGGGGTGGGAATGTACTGCCTGGCCGCTTCAAGTTAATGGGCCAATGGTTCTAAATGCGCACGTAACAGAGTCATACATCCGTCACTTCAAGAGCCTCATGCAGCATTGACGTTTAATTCCAAACTGCTTCTGTTATGTGTCTCAGCAGGATCCTCGTAGTAAACACAAATTTAAGGTGCACACGTACTCCAGTCCGACCTTCTGTGACCACTGTGGCTCACTCCTCTACGGCCTGATACACCAGGGCATGAAATGTGACCGTACGTATGCCTGCTCTGATATATTGTGTGCGTGTGCGTGTGCGTGTGTGTGTGTGTGTTTGGAGGCGAGGCCTCAAAGCTTCAGTTCTTCTCCTCATTTCACAGGTTTGTGAAACCTCAATTTCAATTAATTTACCCCCCACAGGCTACCTAAAAGCCCCTGCATTGATGGAGCGTTACTCTTCTCAAGAGCTTGCTAACACGTATCTTGTTTGGAGTTTTTTTATTTTAGGTTTTTCGCCTGCAAATGTCCTCCCCGCTCTCTTGATTAGTTCAGCGAAATCGATTCTGCAAATTCGTTTCATGTGTTTTGAGGAAAATGAACGACGACGTTTTAGGTTTTTCGCCTGCAAATGTCCTCCCCGCTCCCTGGATTAGTTCAGCGAAATCGATTCTGCAAATTCTGTTTCATGTGTTTTGAGGAAAATGAACGACGACAAAGTGTGTAAAATGACAATTGAGGGACAAACCTGCTGGGAACTTTTACGTCAGAGTACTCTGACATCTAGTGGACACCTTGAAACATTACAGCTGACTAGAAACTATGGAATTCCATTCAGTCCCAAATCACACGTCAGATATATTTTGTGTGTGTGTGTGTGTGTGTGTGTTTGTGTTTTGCCTTGAAGACTGCATGATGAACATCCACAAGCGCTGCGTGGCCAATGTCCCGAGCCTGTGCGGGACGGATCACACGGAGAGGAGAGGGCGCATCCAGATCTCGGCTCGGATCACCGAGGACACGCTGACCGTCACCAGTAAGTGCTGCCCTACGGTGGACAGAAACACTTACAATACGGAGATAGATAGACAGGCGGACAGAAATAACTTCCTCCACTTAAAAAAAGAGAGAGAGACTTGATTTCGCTGAGATCAAAACTGGAAAGACCATTAACTGATCAATAATGCAACGATTGGCCCACATGGCCTGTTGGACATTTGTCCACGCGCCAGCTTTGTCTCGCTCAGACAGCTGTGCATTGATTATGGAGCACAAGCTAAACTGTTGTTAAGTGTTGTCCAAAGCAGCCAGGGATATTTAGGGGCAGACCGAAGCAGAGGTGCTGTGTTTTATTTCTTTAAATTTTTTTTATGAATAATAATTAAAAAATGAACTATGTCACGCCGTGTTTACTAAATCTCTATCAGTATACTGCAATTTTGTCCAAATTTGTGTAAAGCCACATCCCGTTCTTGTTTACCCACAGTCAAAGTCCAAAGCAGCCAGGGATATTTAGGGGCAGACCGGAGCAGAGGCGTTGTGTTTTATTTCTTTAAAGGTTTTTTCATGAATAATAATTAAAAAATGAACTATGTCACGCCGTGTTTACTAAATCTCTATCAGTATACTGCAATTTTGTCCAAATTTGTGGCAAGTCACATCCCGTTCTTGTTTACCCGCAGTCAAAGAGGCCAAGAACTTGGTCCCAATGGATCCCAACGGCCTGTCAGACCCTTACGTGAAGCTCAAACTTATCCCCGACCCCAAGAGTGAGAGCAAGCAGAAGACCAAGACCATGAAATGCTGCCTCAACCCGACCTGGAACGAGACCTTCACTTTGTGAGACATCTTCATCTCTTGACTGTACAACCAAAGAATCGCATTTTTATTTCATTACACTTTTTTTTTTTCCCCCCGTCAAGTTTGAAAAGTATCAGAATTCGTTCCTCACCATGGCTTCTATATCTTCTCCTCCCTCAGCAACCTGAAAGAAAGCGACAAGGACCGCCGTCTGTCCGTGGAGATCTGGGATTGGGACCTGACCAGCAGGAACGACTTCATGGGTTCGCTGTCCTTCGGAATCTCGGAGCTGCAGAAACAAGGGATCGACGGATGGTAAGATGGGAAAGTGCGCCAGCTTGCCATCATTGTGTTGCTTACGGCGGCTGTATTGACGAGTATCCGACCTCGGCCCTAGGTTTAAGCTTCTGTCCCAGGAGGAAGGAGAGTATTTTAATGTTCCCGTCCAGCCTGACGGTGAAGATGGGAATGAGGAGCTTCGACAAAAGTTTGAAGTGAGTTGATCACGTGAAGACATTGCATCCTTGAATCCAAAATGCTTTTTTCAGGTCTAAATTGGAATTGGGGAATTTTACGTTTCTGGCTGGCTTTGCAGTTCCTGTTTCGGAGTAGATCGGTCCCGAAAGATCTTCCATTCAATCTCGCCCATTTTCTTCCTTTCCAGAGGGCAAAAGTGGGTCCGGGAAAGCCGTCTGACTCCTCTTCGTCGTCGTCCGTCAGCAAGTATGACAGCAACGGCAACCAGGACCGTATCAAGCTCTCGGACTTCAACTTCATAATGGTTCTAGGAAAGGGCAGCTTTGGCAAGGTACACTCTGTACTTCCCAGAAAGTGAACTGGAAAGCTGAAGGGGAAACTAACCTTTGAACACATATTTTCTGATCCTCTGGGTTGCAATAGGTGATGCTGGCTGAAAGGAAAGGTACTGAGGAGTTGTACGCTGTCAAAATCCTGAAGAAAGACGTGGTGATCCAGGATGACGACGTGGAGTGCACCATGGTTGAGAAGCGGGTCCTTGCTCTTTCTGGAAAGCCACCATTTCTCACACAACTGCATTCCTGTTTCCAGACGATGGTAGGACACAACGTCAGTAATAAGGTCACCGTTTTTGGAGGTCAGTAGCTGATTATCTTTTTTTTTTTAATCTTTCAGGACCGACTGTATTTTGTAATGGAGTACATAAATGGAGGGGACCTCATGTACCAGATCCAACAGGTTGGGAAGTTTAAGGAGCCTCATGCAGTGTGAGTGACTTACCCTTTGGATGTTCCCATAGCACAGAATGGAAAAATTGATGTCAACAAACCTTTATGACCTGTACACCTCATGTTGAAATGGAACATTTTGAGATTCTTTAACAATTGCAAGTGCCATACACATTTTGTACTTTTTTTTTCACAATTTTAAATATCATCACTGCTTTCGCCAAATACTCCAAGGAAGAATTATGTGGAGCAAGCAATACAGAAAGAAACTAAAAGCATTTTCATTCATAAGAGGGAGGGAGCACTTTTAACGACACTGTGTGTATGTGGCAATTGGAAACCTAACCACACGCAAAAACCCTCCGCCACCACCGAGTCCTGAACTGACCAGTATGACACGGTGAAAACATGACTCCATCCTCCTCATTTGACGTACACACTGCAGCATCATATCAATACAAAAGCATTGGGGAACAAACTGTCTGGATTTTCTAGATTCTATGCAGCGGAGATCGCCACAGGCCTCTTCTTCCTACACTCCAAAGGGATCGTCTACCGGTGAGTTGTTTTTGTTAACCGAGAACAGCGCGTACGTTCACAGTCCTCCTTGAACCGTAGTATGTACTTATCACCTACAAGTGTGTCCGTAGGGATCTGAAGCTGGACAACGTGATGCTCGACTCTGAAGGCCACATCAAGATCGCCGATTTCGGCATGTGCAAAGAGAACATGTCTGATGGCGTGACCACCAAGACGTTTTGCGGAACACCAGACTACATTGCCCCTGAGGTCTGTTTTTTTTTTTTTTTTTTTTTTAATTTTTTTTTTTTTTTTTTTTTTAATGTATTTTTTTTTTTTTTAAGTAAACGAGACTTACCTCTTTGTCTGTGTATTCCAGATCATAGCCTACCAGCCTTATGGGAAGTCTGTGGACTGGTGGGCCTTTGGAGTGCTACTGTATGAAATGCTAGCGGGGCAGGTCGGTATTGTCTCTGCTGTAATTTGTTTTGACAAAGAACACGAAGTGGTGACGAGGATACTCCCGTGTGTTGATGCTTCGATGTTCAGCCGCCGTTTGACGGGGAAGACGAAGACGAGTTGTTCCAGTCCATCATGGAGCATCACGTCTCATACCCGAAATCAATGTCCAAAGAAGCTGTCGCCATCTGCAAGGGGGTGAGACCACTTTTGCACAAATGGGCTTCAATGTGTCACATAAAAATAAATAAATAAATAATCACATTTGAATACACAGAAATACTGTTAGCTAAAGGATGCATCATCAATGAAGTACACTTAATCCATCCATGCATTTTCCCATGGACAGTTTTGAGTCTTCAGTGAACCTGACACGCCTGTTTTTAGAAGACCAGAGCCAACATTTGAACCCCAAAACCTCCACTGCGAAGCAGATGTGCTCACCACTAACGCACAATGCTGCCAAGTATTAACAGAATATAACAGCACTCTTGCAAATACGCCCCCTAGTGGCTGAAAACACCTAAGCATTGACTTTTTTTTCCGCCTTTACATTTAAAAGCAAAGTAAAGACAAAAAAGTCACTTCCTAAAATTATTAAAAGAACGTACAGCGCAAAAAAACCCAAGATTTTGGACAAATTGATTTCATCATCGCTTTTCACGTCAACATTGCGTTGCCTAAGACCCGATTCTCACTGAGCCACGAGTGTTTTCGAACGTAGCGAATGGCGGTTTTTCATCAGGGTTCCGAAAAGGTTGCAAACAGTTTGTCTCACACTTACATATAAGTTTGATAAGTGTGTGTGTGATTGTCTAGCTGATGACCAAGCACCCGGGCAAGCGTCTGGGCTGCGGTCCCGAGGGCGAGAGGGACATCAAGGAGCACGCCTTCTTCCGTTACATCGACTGGGAAAAACTGGAGAACAAAGAGGTCCAGCCGCCTTTCAAGCCAAAATCTGTGAGTATGTGCCACATATCCGACACAAGTACACACGCGACGGCTTGTTGACTGTCGTGGAAGTGATTCACACATAACGCACACAAGTGGGTAATAACGCCAGGTAAGTCGGTTCATTCCCTGCACCCAACCATCACCCGGCACATCGCTCACACGTTGTCATTGTGGTGGCTAATATATTTCGACCAATGGGAATCCACTGTGCACAGGCTGTGCGATTTCATTGGTTGATGCCATGTTTGCCTTTTCTCTTTTTTTTTTTTTTTTTTTTTTTTTTTTTTTTTTGCGAGGGGTCAGATCCAGGGTTATAATAGTTTTGGATTTTCCATTGTAGTTATTTTTATTTCATTGTGACTTTTTGAAATTTAGTCCAGTGTCAGTCAGTTTTCAGAGCAAGTTTGTTAGTTTTTAATTTGAAAATGCTGAGTTTGTTTAGTTTGTGTTTTAGTATTTGTTTTACAGAGTTCCCTCGCTATGACGCGGCTCACCCCGCCCCCGCTGTAAAATACAATACTGTACATTGCAAAACACTGTACAATAATTTAAAAAAAATGTTTTTATGATCAATGGAACCGTAGAGTAAATTAAAAAAACGTTCTGTAAATAACATATCTAATAACAAAATTCAACCCCTACTATGCAGATTTGACTTTGAAACGAGGGAACACTGAATTTTATTAATTTTTTAATATGTATGATATTCACTCATGTATGATATTAATTGACAAAGATGAAAACATTTTTGCTATCATTTTTAGTTTAATTTGGTTTTATAAATGTAAGATCTAGTTTCAGTTAGCTTAGATTTTGTTTCAAAAACAAATTCATGTTTATTTTATTTTAACCACTTTTTTTTTTCCAAATTGAGTTTATTCTCATCAGTTTTCGTTAACTATAATAACCTTGGTGGCATCCCTCATCACGCTCACTCCCATCCCTCCATTTTCTCTCTCTTTCTCTTCTCTCCCCTCTTCCACGGCAGTGCGGGCGTGACGCCGAGAACTTTGACCGCTTTTTCACACGCCACCCCGCAGAGCTGACCCCCCCTGATAAGGAGCTTATAGCCAACTTGGACCAGGAAGAATTCCACGGCTTCACATTTGTTAACCCGGAGTATCATTTCGCTACTCACTGACCATGCTACGCGCGCACACACACACACACACACATACACACACACACACACACATTACATGCATCAGTGCAATAGTGAGACAGAAATCACCATCGTGTGCATATCCAGGCTGCGTTACAAAAGGAAGTTTGACATTTTGGGGGAAATGAAGGGAAATTGACAAACTGCTTGAAAGAAAAAAAAAGTATCACGATTCCTTTTACATGATAGAAATTAGCGCAAGTATATGCAAATGTTGAGAAGTCTCAGATTCATAATAGCAGTTCAACTGGCTCCAGTTCTGTCATCAGTGCAGTTATTCACTGAAAGCCACCACGTGATTAATGAAATGAGCCTTTTGGTTTACCTTGCATATTCATGCCCTGTCAGTGCAACTGATGAGCATATTTATTTCCTGTGTATGGAGAAAAACCCGTCAGTCACCCTCCAAGGATCGTTTGAATGATGACGAGTGACCCCACCCCTCCTCCATACTCGGGATGGGTTTCATAAGCAATGAATTGGTCATGAAGAATGATATCGAATATCAATTGTTGACTTCTTAAAACCATTGAGGCAAAATCTTCGGTCTCAAGAAGGACATTGATGTCAGCGCTGTTATTCTGCTCAATACAAAAATGGCATTCAGAAAGCCCCTAATCTATTTTTTTTGTTTTTTTACAAATTAGCTGTTCATTTTCCCTATAGTCGATTTTAGGCATAGACACCAAAATAATAGGTACGACAGGTCAGGGAGGTGTAAATCGAACAATTTATTGTCATAGTTTGCACCGCATCGGGTTGCGTTATCGTCTTCGTGCAGTCAAGACCAAATATTGGTTACGGCTCTTGTATTGAATCTGTGAGGCTGCCAAAGTGCCGACTGAAAATCACCAGAGTGCAGTCAAGACCAGTGTGTGCCAATTTAGTTACCGTCGTCCTTCTTTTTTTTTTTTTGAATGCGCGTTAGAACAAACGACACAATAACCTCCTAAAAGTCTTCGGCGTGACATTAACGTGCGTTGAACATTGTGTCAAATCCACCTGGTCGTGCGACCGTGTTTGCTGTCACGCCAGGGAAGACACTTGGGCACTTAATGCAATGACGGTGACGATTTATGGACTACATAGGAAAAAAAAATGTCATGAATATATCAAATGTAATTGTTGTGGGTGAAAGAAAGAAGCGTCTATGGATTGTATTATTGTTCTGTATGACTGGAAAGTAATAATATACTTACTGGTGTCGACCAGGACACTTGTGCAGCGTCTGTCTTCTACTGCCGTGACACACATCCAACAACTAGAAAATGGTGCTGCGTCTGTCTTCTTACTGCCGTGACACATCCAACAACTAGAAAATGGGGAAAAAAAATTGGAATTCATTAATTGAGAGATCTATTTTAAATACGGGGACTGCTTCATCCAGGGGACGTAACCTGAAATTGTACTTAACGGAAATGCTTGGTAATCCGTGCTAACGTCACACTCACTGTTCAACAACACTCGGCCTCGTAAATATTGTATCACCAAGTGGTGAGTATGAGAACCAGTTTTCCTTCCTCAGTTAAACCGGCCACCAAGAACTGAGACAAAAGGAGGTAGGCAACATCAACATTATTCTTTTCATGTGCTCCACTCACAACGTCACCTCCTGTCCTGTTGTGGAATCTGTTTTATGGATCCTCGTCTGTACCGGAATGTTTTTCTCTGCCGCACAGGTGTTTTGTCTTGGGTCTGTACTGTTCAGTCAGCAGGTCTTTTCAGTCTTTTTTTTTTCCGGGTTTGTTTGCACTGTGTATACACACTTCTGTTTTTGTCACGTCGTGACCCCAATCCTACACAAGCACTCCTGAAATAGAATAGACTTGCTCTTCACAAGTACAGAGGTGCCCTAGTAGCCACCTCGAAAATCAGACACAATCTGTTCTGGGGGATTCTTAATTTGTTTTGTGAAATCACCTTTCTCAATTAAAATGAATGGTTGAGGTTTTTAATCCCTGTCAGGGTCCCCTGCCCCCGAAAAAAACTTTTGTCTTTCAACATCAAAAATGTTCTTTACAATTTTTTTAATGTGCACACGCTAGTCTAAACTTAAGGTTTAGATTAATATTGGGCATCTTTTTCTTCATTTCTGGGGGCGGCCATTTTGCCACTTGCTGTTCACTGAAAATGACATCACAGTGCCAAAGGGCTCAGCTAGTGAATGTCACATTCAATGTTATTCATATTCCACAAACGTAATATTAATCGGAATACCTTGTTTACACTGGTGGGGGCGTATAGAAATTATTGTAAATATATATATACTTTTGACTTAATTTCCATCCATCCATTTTCTGAATCACTTTATCACCTTTAAAAAGAAAATTGCCACTTCAGATTATTGCACTTTATGAAAAAAAATCTAGTAAGGACATAATTTAAAAGAATGTATTGAATTAAACATCAGATATTGTGCTGCTCCCGCTGATGTGTGCGCCGTGACACCTGGGGGCACTACAATACAGACATAGAGGGTGCGAGGTTGCCCATTCTCAGTTAATGGTCAATTCATCGACCGTAATCCATGTAACTTTAAACGTTGTTGAACTATTGTAGGACTTGATGAGTAAAAGGTGACGTTTACTGCGTCCCACCCCTGCAGTCGATGAATCAAAAATGTCTTTGTGCTTCTAAAGTGGACTTTCCCTTTCTCCCTCATCGCTGTGCTTAAATGGAACTTCTGTTTCCTGTTGTGACTCATTGTGCTTTTTTTTTTAACTCTGCTCTAAATCCTTAATTTTTAACTTTTGTTAATTATTTCTTTGTGTGTCAGAAATCCCGCCGCGACGTGGGCAACTTCGACAAGGAATTCACCAAGATGGCGGTGGAGCTAACGCCAACGGACAAACTCTTCATCATGAACCTGGACCAGAACGAATTTCAAGGCTTCTCCTACACCAACCCCGAGTTTGTTATACAAGTGTGAAAGGGGGGATTTAAAAACCACACCAAAACCTGAACAGACCCGCAGTGTCTTTCCGTCATCTTGTCACGTCTCGATCGTCTCGTAAACCGGACTACACTTCCGACAAAAGCAGGACTTAAGACTGCACAAGTGAGGGCTGCCTACAGAAGGACAAATCTTCTTGAAGGCTGTAGAAAAACAAACACGTGCCACTTAATTAGAGCGCAGACCTCCGCCAAGGCACAACGGTTCACGAAAGTGCATAAAAAATTATCAGTTGTTCTTTTTATTGGTTTCATTTGTCCCAACTTTTCGAGTTAAATGAATAACCCAAAAAGTTAAGTCAATTAACAACCCACATGGCAACCCATTTTTTTGTTGTTTCATACCAAGCAACGTTTTTTTAAATAAGTTGTTTCGTTTTTTCATTGAACTTTTTGGATTACTCATTTAACTCATGTAAATGTCAGCTCAAATGAAGAAGTCACAAAATACCAAGCAACGTTTTCTTTTAAATACGTTGTTTCGGGTTTTCATTTCACTTTTTGGATTACTCATTTAACTCGTGTAAAAGTCGGCTCAAATGAATAAGTCACAAAAGCCACGCTTTTTGGGTTGAATGAATAACTCAAAACGTTGGCTCAAATTGGCATGAGCGGCAGTTGGTCCCTTTTTGACCAGTAATTGAACTATTTTTAGACTGCGTGATTGTGTCATTCTCATTCTCATGAATCAAAATCAGAAATTTTTGCCTCCATCCCACGAACAAGATTCTCCCCGAAAAGTATCACATCCTTTTCCTGGCCACCTGTCCACCAGATTTTGTGGAAATCGCTCATGTAACTTTTGTACAATTGTGAAAACCAACAAGTGGACGAAAATAAATAAATACAAATCAAAACATGTCACTTTTGTGCTTGGCGGAGGTACCAATATATATATATATATATATATATA